ACATTGAGAACGGTGCGTCCGGTTTGAAAGCTTTATCTCCTTCTCTTGATACTGTTCATTCAGGAAATCTCAGAATGTACATATTCGATAAGACGAAACCTTTTCCGTGGCGTCTCCGGCTTTCTTTTGCTACAGATATTTCCCGTGCTCTCGCATACCTTCATGCACGCAAGTGCATACACCGCGATTTGAAAGGCGAAAATCTCCTTGTCACCACAAACGGCAGATTGAAGATCACCGACTTTGGTTTCGCTCGGATTGCCGCCCGCAACGAAGAGGAAAGCAAACGTCTCACCTTCTGCGGGACTGACTCCTATATGTCACCCGAAATTCTACTTGGGGAGGAGTTCGATTTGCCCACAGACATTTTCTCTCTCGGCGTAATCTTCTGCGAGATCGCGGCGCGGAGGTTAGCTGATGACCGCCATTTCAAACGTACTGGCCCAACGTTTGGCATTGATCTCGAGGAGGTGCACCGATTGGCCAGCCCCGGTTGTCCACCAGCATTCCTTACTCTTGCGTTCGACTGTCTTGCTGAAGATCCAAAGGCACGCCCCACTACTCGCGTCATTTTAGACAGGCTAGGCGAAATTGAAAAGGAGGTTTTGTCACGTCCAGACACTGATGACTTTCACGTTGGGAGCATCAAACTTATGACAGGAGGCAGACGCCGGGGTGCTGTTCCCCGCATTCCGAGTTTTGGGGCTGGGGTTGGGAAGGACATCAGGCACAATGCGGTCTCCGTCAAAGAGGATGTTCTTGCTGCCCTGTCCAGCGGCGAGGAAAGCAGCGACGAAGAGTCCATGGACGCCATGCAAGGTCTTGCTGTTAGCCTGAATCCAAACAGCGATTGGAGCACGGCTGCCAACGGTGAGATCATTGCTTTAGAGTTCCGACGACTTCTTGTAACGTGCTTCGATTATTGACATTCAGGACACTCAGGTGATAGCACCCAACCTCTTCTCGTCAGTAACTCTAGCACATTGTCAGAATACAGCGCCGTCGTCGACCGGGCCCATGTTCCCACAACTACAGATGACATCGCGACATCTTTGTCTTCCGTTCTCACTATTCGACCTGCACTCGACCCAAACGGAACGGCGGAACCCACTACACCAGGTGCCTCCTTGACTGACAATAGTAATACTCCAACGAACAGCGACTCCATCATGTCCGCGCAGAGTTACCAGACTGCTCAATCGTCCATCCAGTGTTCCACCACAGCGACGAAAGGCCACTCCTCCATCGATTCTCCCCCTATGCTTCACCGCTTCACCTTACTTAGACCTGGTACAAAGCGTACCAGCAGACCGGTATCCCCAACACGTCATGCCGACGGAGGATGGAACCCTCTAGAGCTGATCTTCTCTAGCGGATTACTCGTGCAGAAGTGTGATATATGCTCAAAGAGGATTGGTTGGAAGCCTATTTTGGGAGTGTGACGATTGTGGGCTACGGCAAGTCCCTCACCTCTGAGTCCGATCATACGGATCTGATACATGACTGCTGTAATTGCAGGGCTCATGTCAAATGCGGAGAAGTTGCCCCTCGTGACTGTAATATTCGTTCGGTAATTCAACCAGCTCGGCACACGTCATCGCCCTTGTCAAAAGGAAGGGGCCAGCCAAAGAGGGTGTCCTTACCCAATTCGATCACGCGATAAGGGACCCTGCATGTTCGTATTCTCGGGCCTATTGCGATCATTCCTTAGCTCCTGTCAAGCCACACATAACTTACATTCATGGGTCGATAAATCATACACTACCGGGTCACTCGGTATCCTTTCCTTGTATCGTTTTACCTACATTAATGCATTCCCAGTGTCCTGTACACATCATTTGACAAGGCAAGTAACACTCGAGCTCTGACCGTTATCATTTTGTCGAGTGGCAGCGCCGTCGCCGACAGAATTACATACACGATATCCTTTCACAAGTTTTACCCATAATATTTCAATGGCAGCAGATCATCCATTCGTGTGTTTCGATTATTAACCATCAACTTCTTATCTGTTTAGGAATCGAAGCGAGTGATGTGTGACCATTCGACTGACGTTATTTAGTAAAGATTGCACCGTGTCGGATGAAAGGTAATGAAACTTTTTTTGTGTATTGTCGTCTTCATTGTCCTATTCGTCGAGCTCGCGGTCTTTGCGAACAGCATCCTCTGCCTTTTTTTCCAACCCTAGCTATGCCATGAACGCCGCCACCTCCCTGCATCTTGTCTATAACCCTTGACACCGATTCCGCGCCCGCTCCTTCAACCTGCACTAGAGCTATGCCGTCGCGGCCACCAGGTTTTTTTCAGAACAGCGCATCACGACCGGGCGGCACGTCCGCGTCGAGATCTAGCGCCAGATCCCCTTCGCGCTCGTCGTCGACGTCTCCTTCCTCGTTGTCTCTCCCCACCATTTGGTAGGCGCCTTCGCATTTTTCTTCAGTAACTTCCACTACATCCTGAATTTTCCTTCTCCTATCTTGCAGTCCCACCCCGTGCATACTGCCCTACTGTTCACATACATGTCCCTGTCAGATATTGATAGTCATAATTTGTATATTTCATCCTCATCTCAGACGTTGGGAGCAGAATTCGGAGTAGCGGTGGTTTCTGTTCGACGGCGGCGCCAGAGCTGGCAGCATTGTGGGAGTTGAATTCGGGAGTGTCGATATCGAGTATTGGTTGGGTGGCTCGACGATGGGCGTTTAAGGGAGTGGCGCGAACATGACAGGACAGCGCAGAATAGGTATACGCGAGGGCGGTGGTTGGGACTTGAGTTTCCCATCCTGTTGGGAGCCGATCTAATGATAACAGGGCACTGATAGTAATAGATGATACAGACTCAATTGTCGAAGCACACTGCCACAATTAAGGGTCTCGTCTACGTAGTTAACATTCCGAATAGTAGATCGGCTCCCAACAGGGTGGTGTCCCGGAAACGTGACAAGTCCCTGAACGCATCATGATCAATTACATCAGTGGCAAAGACCAGTCTCTGAATCAGAAAACGACACTCAGTGAAGTTCCCATTCCCTTTTTGCCTCTTGTACCAAAAGCGAGTGGTTTCATCATCGGTTCAGAACTTAAGCTTGATTATGCGCTTGGCAAAATCCGGAGTATTCCCTGATGAAGTTCCTTATAAAACGTGACTACCATCAGCTCCATCGAGGTATATTCATATGTAGTACCTGAGCTGTACGCTGCTGTACGTAGCATTGATGGCCACTGCGGATACATGGACGTCATTATCATCGTATCCCTCACAGTCTTGACCAACCGGCAACTTACCTTGCTTGTCAAGGTTAACTTATCAGCAACTTCCATAGCACGGGTGGGCACACCATGGTCACCCCACTAGTGACGACTAAGTACTGTGTACTCTACGGCGAGTCGATTTCGACTTTTACCGACTCACATGCGCTCACACCGTCGGCTGAAAACTTGAGTCAACAGTGAGCAACTATTCGGGTATGCCAATTGGGGATGAGGACAACGTAGGTGCATGATTTGGACCGTAGATAACTGACTCATATCTTGAGCAAATTGCACGAGGCAAAGCGAAATCAATTCAATGTGGTGTCAGGGAGTTGCCAACTTGGGGCGCGAGCGCCGTTACGATTTCGCTATCTTTTGTCATACCCCCCAATTGAACATTCGTCCGTTTTTTGGTCTAGTTCCATCAGCCAGTTGTCTTCTCCTAATATAGGCTATGTAGATCACGCCGCTACAACGACGAAATATTCTTGTAGGTATCATTTGCGACCCTTACGCGAGTGCAGCCTGGACCCTGGATTCACACTCGGGGTCGTTAGACGGTGACCACACCAGCTTGCTCGGTGACGCGCCATGGCGGGTCACAACGGACACGTGATTCTGCCATCTGCTACGCTTGAACATGGTCCTGCCATTTCTGCCCACAACTTTAATACTAACCGATATTAACTGTTTGGAACTAACAAAGATGGGCTGCTCGGGTCTTGTATTATTACAGCCATTTGCAGAACGCTAGGCCGGAGAAAGAAAAAATACATACATTCGGCAATAAGTCGGACCACAAACTTGTGACTTCTGACAGTCAAGCTTAAGCTTGATCTACGATATCATGGGACGATACATATCCAAGGAACGAAAGCAAATTGCTCTGCAAATGAGCTTGCTAAATATCAAGGACCCAATGATCCGTCGTTACACTGGGATCAGTGAGCAGTCAATGCGATACATTCGGCAGACGTATCGGGAGACTAGCGAAGTCGTGAGGACACCGGAACGAGGTGAGGGTTTATACCAGTTGAGCCCGAGAGCCCAATCGAGTCCTTAGCAAGTGGATCTGATCGGAGATAGAAAATGAAACACCGTAGTCTTGCGTTTGAACTTTGGGCCTAGCGTTCTGGGTACCTTGAAGTGACGTTGCGCAACTCTTGGGGACCAAGAACTTTTCTCGGTCACTCGTCTTCATACCTGAAGCTTATATGTCATGATACAACACCCGAGACCGATCTGAGACCGCATTCAAGCGCTACATATCTGGTTTTGAGTGGACCTACGCACGTACAGCACGTGTGCAACACCTGTACACAGTACTTTAGGAGATACAACCAAGTAAGTACGAACTCAGTTTAATCTAGTGTTACTACACTAAGTGTATTAGGAGGAACCTTTTTTACAAACCATCTTTTCAAGGTTAGCATCGTTACGCCAATGTTCGACGCGCGTTCAAGCAGTAACTTACTAATAAAAATGGCAGGTTGCAAAACAATGTCCGAAATTAATATGTCATCTGGTGACTTTTATGTATTGTGGTTATTCGGTACGAGCCTTCAAATTCAAAGCTTTGATACGACGTCCCATGCCATTTCAACTGTAACAGCAGAGTACAAATAAGCTCCTCTTCCCGAACGTGACGGTTTTCTGAATAACGCATCCCAGCACCATATCCAGTACAGCAGCGTGAAGATGTCGTTCCCCTATATCCTCGTCGTAACCGTCACGGTCTTGTTGCTACTATGTTGCTGGTCCTGGTCAAGGAAGTCAGCTGGGCTGCCCCTTCCGCCGGGACCCGCGATCACTGCCATTCATTGGGAACATTGGTGACATCGACGTAGTGAATCCATGGCGTACATATAGTGAATGGAAGGAGAAATATGGTCAGTACTGCAATTTTAAATACTTGCCTCTCTCACATCTCCAGTAGGTCCCATTGTATCATGTCGTCTGATCGGCCAGACCGTCGTCATAATCAACTCTGAGAGAGTTGCACGGCAACTCCTTGATCAACGCTCAGCGATATACTCTGACCGTCCTGCAGGTCCTGTGCCCAGACTGTGAGGTCGCACTTCCTCCTTGTTATTCGCTCTAATCGCGACAAACCATTAGTTTTGGCATAGATTTCATCACGGCATTTCTTCCGTATGGAGATACACTCCGGCTTCATCGACGATTGTTTCACCAAGCATTGCGATCTGACGCAGCAGATTCTTATCGAGATCTCTACTTAACCAAGGCTCGCCAGCTGTTGTCTAACCTTCTTGACTCTCCTGAGGCGTTCGAGAAGCACCTTTTCCTGTAAGTTCGCCATTCTTCGCCCGCTGACGGCCCTACGATTACTGAGATGGGACCAGGTACACTGCTTCGATTATCATGTGCGTAACGTACGGACATGATAAAGTCTCTTGGGATGCTCGCCCGATTAAATCGGTCGCCGAACTTCTGGAGCTAATAAATGTTGGCCTTCCACCTGAAAGGAGTGCAATACTCACGGCATTCCCTATACGTACGCAATTTTATTTAAGATAGAACTTCTGATGCTACCTCATTGCAGTTACGCGACTACCTGCCTGGTTTCCGGGTGCAGCATTCCAGCGTATTGCGCAGCGTACGCGAAAGCTCGCACTTGAGTCCATGAACGAACCATTTGAATACGTAAAAAGGAATATGGTGAGCACGCGACATACTAGTAATCTTGTGAATGCGAATACTCATGGGGGCTGAAGGCCGCTGGAAATGCACCGAAGTCAATGGTGTCGGATCTTTTGTCTGAAATGGGCGAGGGAAAGGAGGCTTTTCCAGAACAGGCAGTGAAAGAAGTTGCCTTGACCGTCTTTGTTGGTGAGTGTGTTCGGTTTCTATTACGTTACAGGACGAGCCAACATACATACGTTCATAGCTGGGTTTGATACGGTGGGTCCACCATGCTACACTAAGACGTAGACTGCGGACAGATCAGCTGATGGATTACACAGAGCTCTTCCACGTTGTCTTCTTTCATACTAGCGATGGTTTTGCATCCCGAGGCTCAGCGGCTCGCTCAACAAGAAATTGATTCTGTCGTTGGCGTTGATAGACTGCCGGATTTTTATGACCGACCATCTTTGAAGTACGTGGAGGCAGTTTTCCGGGAAACTATTCGTTGGCATGTCGTTGCACCACTTGGTGAGGGACTTGATGTGTCAGCCATATCATTCTCATTGTTCCGGCAGGTCTTCCTCATGCAACATCAAGCGATGACGTCTTCGAGGGCTATTTCATTCCAAAAGGTTAGTCGGCGGGTTTATTCTTATGTTTGCATCACATATTAATGTGACGTGTTTCACCATAGGCTCTCTCATTATGCCTAATATATGGTTTGTGTCAATTTTCTGATGAGTTTTGCGCTTTGTAACTTGGTCGCCTCTTCAGGGACATGTCCAGAGAAGGACACGATGATCCTGATGTTTTCAGACCCGAAAGGCACTTTGCAAGTGACGGGACGCTTTTACCAGACACGATAGCGGCCAAACCTATGTGGGGTTTTGGAAGGAGAGGGTGAGTGGGAGTCCGACCTCATCCAGGAATTGTTCTTCTCACAATCTGGTTAGGTGCCCAGGGCGTTTCATTGCCGAAGCTGCAACCTGGAGTGCGGTGGTGCACCTCCTTGCAGCGTTCCGGATAACAAAAGCAAAGGATGAAGCAGGGAAAGAAATTGAAGTGAAAGAAGAGTTCACATCTGGAGTGGTCTGGTGTGTTCCTGTGTGCTTGAGATATGAAGCATCGGTATCCTCATTGCTGTTGATTTTATAGCCGACCCGTGCCGTTTCAATGTTCCTTTGTCCTCCGATCGACGGGAAGGGAGAAGGCTATCCGCTTGGGTGATTAATCTTGGATGAGGGTTTGGATCTCATGTGACCTGATTATTCTAGCTGTACGAGGCGAGTTAGTTAACTTGTAACACCAACTCATCGCGATTATGTGTTGACACATTGTACTTAATTACTACTCGTAGTCAATCGGACCGTTTGATATTGGTTCGCTATCTTATGCTGACTTGGAGCGGTGTCCACCCACGTGCGTCCCGCGTGCCAGGGAGCAAACTTCAAAGCCCACCCCTCCGCTGTGTCTGCTCATCAGGAAAACCCTCCGATACTAAGCTAGGCACACTTGCTGATTTTTTTTACAAGTCATGATCATCAGTAAACCGGTGAGACTCATATATTCCCAGCCGAAATGCTTTTTATTGATCTAGCACTAATTCGTACAACTTGTCTAGTTTTTTTTTCCGCAATTTGACATACTTAGTATCGGAAGGTTTTCCTGATGCTCAGGTTGCCATGATGGCTTACAATACTAAATGGCTGGCATATAGCTCATCGCTCCACGGATCATCAGCTGGAAAAACAAAGCAAATTCGAGCTGGCATTGGTTTTGCATCGCAACTAATGATATTTTGCCAACTCGTCTTGCTTCACAACGGCAATCTATCTGGCATTGCATATTGCATGTTCGAAAACGGATTTCAAATGGATAGATACTTCCTGCGTCACCCGGACATGAAGCTAAGAATAATATTAATATTCAGCACATGTATAACAAGCCGTCTTCCTACTGTCCCATTTAGATCAACTTGACCCCACATATCACATCCTCACAAACGATGCGTTTCTCCTCTGTCCTCACCGTTGCTGCTGCTTTGACAGCATCAGTATCTGCCAGTCCCACTGCCGTTAGTACCGGAGGTTTGTCCTAAATTGTGCCCAGACTGGCATTGTTGCCCTGGGCAGGTATGTCTGCCGGTGGGCAACATTTGTTGTGAGTATGAATATTTTGTGTCCACCATATGACTCACCGGTATGGTAGGCTGTCATGACGTGTGTGGCAATATTTGTGACAGTGAACTAGGGTGCCGGTGAGTCGCGTTTCTACTTAGTATCAGTGCAGATGATGGTTGAACGTTGAACGTTGAAGCGCTGATGGCATGACGTGCAAAGTGCTAGCAGTTTGATGTTGAGTTGATCAATGTCTCGCTTTTGAACAAATTTCACTGCCGCTCGAGCAATGGAGATCTTGGAATAGGGAAATCTCAAATACTTGAATACATAGAATATGATTGAAGTACTTGGGAGTTTTGTAGTCTCGTTTGTAAGCTTGAATATAGAAGCCCTCGATGTCAGTGGCACCACGACTCCTCCCCACATAGGCGCTGGTTACTAGGCGTTACGGATGCATTTTCGGTCTGCAGTAGCCCGCTGAGGCGTGTCGCGACCCCCACTAGATCATGATAGTGGTATATATGGAAGTAGGTCATTGTCAATTGCGAAAGCTTCAGATCCAGAAATGCACTTGACCATCATTGAACTTGACCGCTGTGAGTGATCCAGCGTGTGCACTTTCAACCATTCATAAGCGTATGCAGGTGGGGACATTGACGAGCGCTGTAAATAATCCACGAGATGCCGAACATGCATCAGTTCTACCTGTTGTCGCAGCCTTGCTGGCTCGTGAAAAGTTTTTGCGTATTGTTGTAAGCGCTGCAAGCTGGATTTCGAAGACATTGATGTCTCTGAAACGACAGTGGACCCAAGATTTCAAACGTGCGTGAGTATCTCGGAGGAGCCTGCGGTGACCGGACCAAAAATCCGGTTCGAACCATGGTTCTGGACCACCACCAACCAGGCTGAGGCTTCATCTACAAACAACCTCGCAGGAGCCAGCTGGAGATGTGTTGACAGTGATGCCCCCAGCGTTGGACTAGGGCAAAGGCTGCGTGCAGAGAACTCGATTATGTGTGTTGTTGTGCTACCTCCAGCGTTGGACTAGGACAAAGGCTGTGTGCAGAGAACTCGATGGCATCATGTGTGTTGTTGTTGTTGTTGTTGTTGTGCTACACTATGTAATTTGCTCAAATATTGTCACTTCTGTTGATGAAGTTCACCTTAAATTTAGTACGGCACTATGGTACGGTTCCGCGCACCTTCGCGTCGACTGCAAGCCGAAGCCATGAAAATCCTTTGGTGAGTTGAAGGACTTTTATGTCTGTGTTTCTGACAATGCGTCCTAGTAGGGTCTCCCATTTCGTCCGCCCTCTGCACCCCAAATGCCCCGACGCGGCGGGCCAATCCAAAAACGACATATCGAGCACGTAAAGAAGGTAATCGTTGTAGCAAGCGGAAAGGGGGGTTGTGGGCAAGAGCACAATAGCAGGTACGTTTCAGCAGCAACTGAACGGAACTTTTCGAATGACCACGAATGAAGTAAATCTTGCTTTCTCCCTCGCAATGCTGTCTCATCGACCACGAGTTGGCATACTTGATTTGGACTATTTTTGGACCTTCTATTCCTACCTTGATGGGACTCCAGCATTCGGACGATCCACATTTAACTCCCGGTTCGTTTCCTGACACACACCGTGAGCTTCCGGTGACTCTGTTACTAGCTGGCGCTCTTCTCCCCATAATTAATCATGGCATTCCTACAATGTCTATGGGCTACCTTGTCCCTCGGCCGCCGCCCGACTCCACAGAATTTGAAGGTGCGATTGTCTGGCGCGGCCTTATGGTTCAAAAAGCCGTGCAGCAACTCCTCTTCGATGTTGACTGGCGGGACGCTGGTGGATCTGGTCCTGGGCTGGACGTACTAGTCATAGATATGCCCCCGGGAACGGGAGATGTCCCTCTTACACTGGGACAATTAGTTGTCGTCGACGGTTCGCTTCCACGAGCTCTTCAGATGTTGTTCGCCGTCTAAAATGAAATAGGCGCAGTCATCGTTTCAACTCCACAGGACATCGCACTAACAGATGTAAGAAGAGGAATTTCTATGTTCAAAAAGATCTCCGTTCCGGTAAGTATTATACATATTGTCTTTCGGCCTCACCCTCATTTTGTTCGTCGCCATCTACAGATAACAGGTCTCATCCTTAACCAAGCGTCCTTCCTATGTCCTTCTTGCAACACCGCGCATGAGCTATTTGGGACTTCAGCTAATGCATCGCGCCTTGGGATCCCTCTACTAGCGCAACTCCCTCTTGTTGGGGGTGTGAGCTGGGGTGGAGATCGCGGCATTCCATACGTTCTTGAAGGAAAACATGCAGATGGAAAAGACGGCAGGGCGGGAGAGATGTGGCGAGATGCGATGAACGAAGCAGCAAGCAACATTTGGGAGTTAGTTCACAGCTGAGTGAGTACTACCATGAAGGATCCTTCTGTACATAGCTTTGCTTGCGTTTGCCTTGGAATTGCACAAGGAGCATTCTTTGGAATCATTCTCTGAGTGGAGGCAACATATCGACCTGTTTCCGCTACCTTTGACGATAGACTCTACTTGCTAAACCCTCACTGCCCGCCACATTACTGATTGTGACATGGAAAGGCCGTGCTCTATTGCATCTGCCATGAATAAACAACTACAATACGAGAAATGAGTTCAGAGCAGAGCCGCCTGAGTGCGCCCGTCGCTGACTAAGCTATGGAGATCGCCGCTGCCTCTCTCTTTGGGACTGACTGCCTCTAGTCCATGCCTTGGAGCCCCTGGTCCAGTGTCTACTTCTATGCCTCAATGTACTCGCAGATGCACCCATATAAATCTATGTTGTCTCCCTACCTTCAAACAGCTTCTCTCTTTGTTATGCATCCCTTCAACCATTTTGTTTTCCTTCACGATGTCACGCCTTATCTCGCTAACTATTAGTACCTGCAAGTATGTTGAATTTTAATGTACTTATCATGTCTCTGTCTCCACCACTACTCAGCCTGTTACTTTGAATTGAATCCCTCCTCATCTTGTACAGCTTTCGCCTCACCACACCCTGGCAGGAGTATCAATACACCCCTTGCTATTGTAGAAGGCTATGTATTCATACAACAGCTATCTTCAAGGCTTCTTTGTATTCATGGCAAGCCAGCCGTCATCAGCAGCTTTGGCCCGGCCTGGATTTTTTTTGCAAGCCAGAGTCATCTCAGGCCAGGCCAGGCCAAAGCCACGGCTTTGGGGCCAAGCCGGGCCGGAACATCACTAAAATTATTTGACATCCTGTTCAGAGTCTGAACAGGATGTCAATACTAGTTCTGAGTCCCCATCCTCGAGAACAGCATCCGAGCTATTGAATTTACGTTCCATAAGGCTTTCGAGCCTCCGCGCGTTGGCAATGCAAGCGGATTTACGCTCGTTTTTTTCTTTACCTGCAATGCAAACATAATTAGATTCTGTACTTGCACTTGCCTTTGCGTCCGTCGCGGCCTCTTGTGTGGTCCGTGTCACCGGTGTGTCCAACTCAAAGGGAGGATTTTCTATCGCATCACGGTGTCACCTGCAAGGTACTTAGCATACACACATATTTACACGAGAATCGCGTTGAGAATCCGTTCTGGTTATCAATAATATCAGATAATTCAGATTGGGGTGTTCAAAGTAACTGCGATTTTCACACGATTTTCGCATTTTGAATCGTCCTTAGTACAGGTAATCGCACGCTGAATCGTCTCAAAATCGTTCACTCTGACTCGGACTACCAGGTAACCACTATTAGAATATTGTGTCATTTGCGTCTGAGAAAACTCTTTTCCGACTATCGTGGGAGTCGGGGACTGGCAGGGAATCACTCAAAGCCACTCTACTTAGACTGGACACACTGGCACAATGGTACGTCTACCAGGCTCGACAATGCGGGAGCCTGGTCGCCGAACTTCTGGAGCTAATAAATGTTGGCCTTCCACCTGAAAGGAGTGCAATACTCACGGCATTCCCTATACGTACGCAATTTTATTTAAGATAGAACTTCTGATGCTACCTCGTTGCAGTTACGCGACTACCTGCCTGGTTTCCGGTGTGCAGCATTCCAGCGTATCGCGCAGCGTACGCGAAAGCTCGCACTTGAGTCCATGAACGAACCATTTGAATACGTAAAAAGGAATATGGTGAGCACGCGACATAGTAGTCTCGTAGACGCGAATACTCACAGGGGCTGAAGGCCATTGGAAATGCACCAAAGTCAATGGTATCGGATCTTCTGACTGAAATGGACGAGGGAAAGGAGGCCTTTCCAGAACAGGCAGTGAAACAAATTGCATTGACTGTCTTTGTTGGTGAGTGTACTCGCTTTCTATTACGTTACAGGACGAGCCAACATACGTACGTTCATAGCTGGGTTTGATACGGCGGGTCCACCATGCTACACTACGACGTAGACCGCAGACAGATCAGCTGATGGATTACACAGAGCTCTTCCACATTGTCCTCTTTCATACTAGCGATGGTTTTGCATCCTGAGGCTCAGCGGCTCGCTCGCGGCTCAACAAGAAATTGATTCTGTCGTCGGCGTTGATAGGCTGCCGGATTTTTCTGATCGACCATATTTGAAGTATGTGGAGGCAGTTTTTCGGGAAACTATTCGTTGGCATGTCGTTTCACCACTTGGTGAGGGACTTGATGTGTCAACCATGCCATTCTCATTGTTCCGACAGGTCTTGCTCATGCAACATCAAATGACGACATCTTCGAGGGCTATTTCATTCCAAAAGGTTAGTCGGCCGATTCTGACTTTCGGCGGGTTTATTCTTATGTTTGCATCCATACTAATGTGACGTGTTTCACCATAGGCTCTCTCATTATGCCTAATATATGGTTTGTGTCAATTTTCTGATGAGTTTTGCGCTTTGTAACTTGGTCGCCTCTTCAGGGACATGTCCAGAGAAGGACACGATGATCCGGATGTTCTCAAACCAGAAAGGCACTTTGGCAAGTGATGGAACACTTTTACCAGACACGATAGCGGCCAAACCTATGTGGGGATTTGGAAGGAGAGGGTGAGTGAGATCAACCTCATTCAGGAATTGTTCTTCTCACAATCTGGTCAGGTGCCCAGGGCGTTTCATTGCCGAAGCTGTGATGTGGAGTGCGGTGGCAAATCTCCTTGCAGCGTTCCGGATAACAAAGGCAAAGGATGAAGCAGGGAAAGAAATTGAAGTGAAAGAAGAGTTCACATCTGGAGTGGTCTGGTGTGTTCCTGTGTGTTTGAGAAATGACGCATCGGCATCCTCACTGCTGTTGATTTTATAGCCGACCCGTGCCATTTCAATGCTCTTTTGTTCTCCGATCAACGGGCAGGGAGAAGGCGATCCGCTTGGGCGATTAATCGTGGATGGGGGTTCGGATCTTATGTGACCTGATTGTTCTAGCTGTTTGTAACACCAACTCATCACGATTATGTGTTAACACATCGTAGTTAATCAACATACGTAGTCGATTGGATCGTTTGCTATTGAGTTTTCAACTTCAAGTTCTCTCGTGTGATACTTGGTCGGTAATATAATAATTAACCGTTCGTTACGGTGGCAATATCGGAATCTATTCCCATAATAATATCAATATTTCCAATGATAATTTGTCTCTCCACAGTGCGCACCACTGTCAGATTTGCAGTTCCATCAGCAGCCTACGATAAAAACCATTGCTTTCAATTTCTCGTAGAGACGAGCGCTCCGAAGTCTACTGCTTAGAAATAGCCAAGCTTGACTCGGATCTGGGGTGGAAGGTACGTTATGTCAAAGCATCATACATTCTGCAGATCGGCTTATGTAGTCGAAACCCATAAAGTATCATCGTACAATACGGCACATGTCTCGTCAGCAACAGGATGCAGATGCCAACCCCCGGTTCAGACAAAGGTCAAACACGACAACCTTCGCCCCGTTTGCGTGGCGGCGCAAAGCCGACACCATATCTACTACCGTCCAACCCCAGATACAGCCAACGTTGACCTTCGATGCCCTCGTTGAGGCGCTGACTCCTCCTGCAGTTCCAAGTCTCACACATGCACGCTCCTTGGCTACTCTAATAGCATCACAATCACCATTGCCTCGACCATCCGTGCTGAACCCAGTGTGGGCTGCACTCTGTGGTCACGATTCGCCTTCTTCACTGCAGGCAGCAGGGTATGAAATCATGGCAACGTTCTGGGAGAGATTTGACGGCCACCTGGGTACAGCAGATATTCTTCAGTATTTTTCGCTATTTTTGCATACCGTCTGGACTGCCGATGTAGGGGAACCTCGACTACGGGCCCTACGGGCTCTCACAAGAGGGGGAACTGAAGTCATTGGTATCGAAATCCCATTAATTAGCTTGCTCAGGACATGGACAGAAGGCGCCTTTGATGCTTACATGTCGGGCGATTCCCCAGATTCTATTGACCGTGCAGAACGAGAGCGACACGTTGAGCTTTTGGCTACCTTCCTATCTTCTGTACTGGAACAACCGGAATCCGCGGCTCGTGTATCTGAAGGTGACCTCGCCAGTGTCCTTCAGTTCTATGCTGGTCTTCTTGGTCGGGCGTTGACAATACCTTCCCTGAGCCCTGCTGCTGATCCCGTACCCTCACCGCCTCTCGCCGCTTACACCGATCAACCTGTCGGCGTAAAAACGAATGTTGGGGCTCACAGACGTCATACATCATCCATTTCAATCCGTTCTATCTCATCCCCAAATTTGCCTTCTCGAAAACACCCAGCAGAGTTAATGGTCGTCATCTATCTAGATCACCTCAGCTCGCAGCTCAAAGCGCTCGCGCCAAAATTCTTGACGCTCATTCTTCCTGTCCTCTTGCGCGCGCAGGCCTTCTTCGCTTCCCCTTTACCCCGTGTATCCATAATGGCAGGTCGCACTCATATACCAGCTAGCTTAGAGGACAGGATTCACAAATATTTGAACGTATTGTTCTCCGGGCCGTACGGTAGTTCGTGCATGGCAATACTCAAACGACACCTTCTTCCTCCTGCCGATGTTGGGAAGGACCTTCACATCGCTCCGATCATTGCTCTTGGTGCGCACAGAACACTGAGAAACATCATTCGCCAAGGACTATGCACAAAAATGGCTCGCGCATACATTTGCAGACTGACTTCCGTCTCATACCCCACTACAGGCGCTTCCGGCCACAAGGATCTTGAGAAAGATCTTATGGAGCGGGCATGGTCAAAGGATGATATATCTGGATGGGATCATACAAGGCTAGGAAGATTGCTTTCCAAGTCGGTTGAAGCTTGGGCCAAATTTACCCCAGCGGATAATGGGGAGGATTATGACATGGAGAAGGACAAGATAATGGACGAAGCGGCATGCACCATGAGAGATATCTTTCAGGAGTTTGACGAGAGGGAGGATGGTGTTGATATGGACGATGAAGAGGCGTGCGTTGCAGGAGCAACTCTTCGCCAGCTTGCCAATTTTGTTCGTCCGATCAGGTGTGTTGCCCGTTTTACGGGAAGTCGCTTACATCCTAACTAATTTCGCAGGACCACGGATGGAGCGCCTCTGATCCTACCGCTAGACCAGCCTGCCGAGGCCCCTACGCCATTCTTACGCACACTTTCATCCTTGTTAGCCCGAGATCATTCGACATACATGATTCCGCTACTATCCACCACGCTCTTCTTCATTGCGGACCATCTTACCGATGCAGATACCGCCAAACTCCCAAGTATGATGTTTGAACAACATGATCTGTCACCTGCATCACCGGATTGGTTGAAGAGCTGGGAGGACATTCTTTCAAATCCCACTCTATTTGCTCCTACCCGAGCGCTAACACGGTTGGAAATCATGAAGGCATTACGATCCGTCTACGACTCTCTCAAGGATATGCATAGCTACAGGAAGTCCCTGGCAGGCTTAGTCTTCGATTTTTGTCGGATGCAGGCAAACAACCTGCAGGAAGACCTGACATTCGACAGCAGCGTAGCATGGAGGATATTGGGTGATGAAGTAGTCCTTCGTGCAGTAGAGGCGCATGCTACATCAGCATCGGTGGCCTCATCTTCAGATTCGGGGGCTCCAACTCTCTTCGCACCTGTACGGGAATTGATAGACCTTTTGACAGCTGTTGCTGTCGAAGGAGGAGTCCAAGAAGATGAAGATGACACTGGGTGTACCAACACTTCTGGCACGCCAGCGTCACCTGCATTTCCCTCCAGCAGTGCTTCTGCTGTTATGACTCCTATACTCTCACGAAAGCAGTCAGAGCACCGCGGTGGAATGCGAGAGAGAGAGATTCGAATATGCCCTCTGTCATGTCAATTCTGTCATCCCTTGCGGGTTCTCGCTCTCAGTCCCAACACTCTCAAGAACATGAGAGTCCTCGTCCTCCATTGGTCGCTTCCCCTGCATCTGAGCCAATATTGCCTCGTGCAGCTGTAGCAGTAGTGGCGTTGGTTTCGATATTCAGCCAACTCGCATTCACACCTCACGCACTACTCCGGCATAACGTCGTTTTAGCAGGCGGGTATTCGATACTTTGGTTCAGCTCATTAGCCAGGCAAAATCTTCCCGCACACGTCTCACTGTTCTCCAGTTCATCATGCGAATCCGTGCCGACAGGGACCAACCGCCTTTATTTCGTTGACGCCCATCATGATCCAGATGGCAATATTATGACCTTGGCATCGCTGATTGGCCGGATACAAGGGCCATCGCTTTTTGGACAGGCGCAGCAGTCAGAAGATGAGAGGACTAGTTCCGGTGACCTGAACAACGATGACTCTCACGTGCGCAAAACCCCAGCCTCGAAGTACTCAAGAGCGTGATGGGAGAAGAGCATCTCGTGGGAGAGGAATCAGGCCAAATCAATCGGCAGGCAGCCGCAGTCGGTCGAGAGCATCATTACCAACCCCATCGCCCAGTGCAAATCAGGTAAAAACGTGCGAGACCCTCTGGCAATTTCCCGAATCTCTCCCGTTCACTTCGATAGACCCAGACAATCCAAGCGAGGGCATTTTTTCGTATGATCCAGTATCCGAGTCCATTGGTGTCCTACACGTCGATTCTTATTTGTCTGCCATCTTCGACGTGCTAGAGAAAGAGAGAAATTGGGAAATTCTCTCCTACGTCCTCTGTCATCTTCCCGTCCAACTCGCAAACAAACACCTGTTTTGCGGCCCCCAAGTGTCGTGAGACGATCGTGAGGTTGCTGACGTCCCTCTGTTCTGGACTGGCAAGCGGCGGATTAGCATCCAGTATTGATCGCTGGCCTCTCGGTCTCAAACCTCGCGACGCTCATGGGTTAGCATTTCACACACTCACCGTCCTCATCAGCTATTCACGGCGCTTCGACTTGCCGTTGCGACACGCTATTGTTGATGTGCTTCGAGAAGGGTTGGATAGTCAGCCCACGACCATCATCTGCTGTCTGCAGGCTTTGACGTTATGTGCCTTGAGCTTCTGTCTTCGCTCAAGAGGTCCCTACCATCAATCTTGGAGAAGCTATCACAGATCATGTCCAACCCAGACATGGCTGTCCACATCCTCAGTTTCCTCTCCGTTGTCGGCTCCATCCGCGCGCTACATGCTAATCTGCGAGAAGAAGATTTCAAAATGGTGTTTGGTGTTGCGTTGCAATATCTTCAGCATCACAATCGTCCTGGTGCAACACCCGCGATGTCGTGGGCAATGTCTCAGTATGTTCGGATGATTTCGTTCTCTGTGGTATACGTTTGGTTCTTGGCAGTCAAACTTCCACATCGTCCTCGACATATTTCATATATCACTCGCCAGTTGCTACTAGCAAACGAAGGAAGGATGACATTGACGAACCCACCGAGGTATGCTTCGACTGGCTGGCGCGATATGCATACGCCAGCGCCGATCCACGACCCGCTCATTCGACGCTGAGTGAGATTGTGATGAACCCAAATAATCTGTCATCTCCGGAACCTGCTGTCAGTGAAAAGACATGGCTTTCGGGTAACTCTGTCGTCACCATCCGCTCTTTGGCTCGCCTCGGTTGGATTGAAGTCCTATCTCGCCGCCCTTCTGGGTTGACTAGGTTCCTCTGCAAGCTAGAAAATATACCCTTAGTTGGGCCCGGTGATGTCGATCCTGATATGGTTTCTGTGGCTGCGGGTATGATGATGGAGCGCGATGTTCCGCGCCCTGAACGCCCCGATGCAGGTGTCGATCAATCGCTGGAAACAAATTCTCGCAGTGTAAGTCGGAACTCTCGTCTACAAACTAATGGACTCATCCATTCTAGGACACAATCAAAACCGTTGTCGTAGGGGATGATGGTGGAACTGCACCACCAGTACCAGATCCAATCACTGGCTATGTGTGGAGTCATACTACTCCCTCTCAACGTCGAAAATACGTTGCCGTCGATCCCGCTTTCTTCGCACTTCAGCTTTCCCCTTACCCTGATGGGAACCAACCCGCTAGCCAGCGGATGGTCGATGCAGCGTTACTTCCGGCTCTCTTCCGGTCGTTGGATCAGATTCCCGTGATTGATACCCATAAAGTGGGGATCATGTACGTTGCACCTGGCCAAACACATGAGCTTGATATTTTACGGAACACCCATGGGTCGCCTGCGTATACAAGGTTCCTCGAGGGCATTGGCAGGCTCATCAATCTTCGAGGTCAAGTTGACGTTTATGCGGGTGGCCTGAGCCCGGACGAAGACGGCGAATACGCCTATGCATGGTGGGATGATATAGGTCAAGTCCTTTACCACACCGCTACGATGATGCCATCCAAACCTCACGACAAGTATTGCGTCGACAAAAAACGTCATATTGGAAATGACTATGTCCGAATCGTGTGGAATGACTCTGGAATTCCCTATCGCTTTGACACGCTTGCCACTCAGTTCCAATTCGTGAACATCGTCATCGAACCCCATTCCCTTGGCGCAATCGCTGCCTTTTCTAATAACATCCACGAAAACGAATATTTCAAAGTCACTGTCCAACGTGCCTCTGGCATGAGTGACTTACACCTGTTGGTGACTTCAAGCTCATATCGGCGGAACAGCTCCCTTTGCTGGTCAGGCAACTCAGTTTACTGGCGGATGGTTTTGCGTCTGTGTTTGAACGCACAGAGCGAGACACCAAGGAAGTCGAGGTCATCACTAACTGGCGTGCTCGACTCCAAAAGATCATGACATTCAAGAGGGACAAAATGCCACCCCCGCAGACTGGGGGTGAAATCGAAGGAGTAATCGGACAGGAGGCCTATCGCAACTTCACAGCTACATTCTAGCCTGGATTGTATTTGTGATTCTACGTCGGTGGATATTATGCATTGAATTTTATCTCTTCTCTACAATTTACTCATTGTTCAAGTTGATCATTGATCTCCGTACATGCCAGGGTCTGTTACTTGTTGTATTGTTTATCACTGCTTCTGCGCGATTTGCGTACTGTAATTTTCAAAAGTTCGTTCATTCACACCTACACTGATCAATTAAGTCAGTGTAATAAGATCTAGAGTCCCCTACTTCGAACTTCCTAAGTTTTGACATTTATTATATGTCTCCTCGGAAACGTCTAGCCAGCGATCGGGATCCGCAGTCATCTTATGCTGACTCCTGGACCATCGATGATGACCACAATGGCATAGCCACGACGAGCATACCCTCAAAGAACAATAGAACCTCCTCCACCATCTACTTGGGCTACAAGTCGTTCGGACAGAGTCAAGTCAAGATGATCCGAGTCTTCAAGAGCATGTAACAAATTTGAGAAAATACCTAACAAGATCTATGGCAGTCGCTTTTACCTTCTTATCCAGGACAATGACCTTCACTAGCAGGTAGCGCATGTCATTCCACGACGAACCGAAGACAACATAGTATGCAATTCTATAGCCTATGAGAAGCGCAACCCTGATATTTTCTTCAGTTGAAGCTCTACAAATATCACCTCGGCTTAGAATTCAAAACTTTGCATGTTAACAGCAAGACAAACCTTTTTCATCATATGATACACCATGGCATCTTTTGTGAGATTGTAGTACAGTACACTATCTCATAATGCATAAATCTCATAATGCATAAATCTCATAATGCATTGACTTCGGAAGGTCCCACCGTGGGCCAGTGAGAAATTGAACCATAATGCATAATGCATAATGCATAAGCCTGTGGGACCATTATGCATTATGAGATAGCATTTTTGGCCGGTTGAGTCATATCGGCGATGCTTGTTCGGGTCATTTTATTCATGTTACAATATTGTCAAAGTAACCAACCTTGATTCAATTACCATCCACCATGTCCGAGTCTGTTCGGAAACGCAAACCCCGAGATACACCCCCACCATACCAGATACAGCAAAAAAAACTCAAGGTCAAAAATGCTCCGGTAACTTCAGCACAACCAGCTACAGTGCACACAGCACGTCAAAACCTCACTCTCAGTGATTGAACCAGAGGTTTCCCGCGCAGAAAACACTTGCGCTGTGTCAGCGGCTCGGAAGGGCTTGCCTCCAGTTTGGAAATGCTGATGCACTTGAGTTGTTGAAACAGATCCGTCTTTTCCGTGCTGAGCTGCGACGCGAGGAGCTTCTAAACTCGACACAGACTACAATAGATGCTTACTTTCGTTAGATATGTAGTATGTACTTGTGCCGGTGATGCTCTACCGCACGGTGTCACAATTTGTCACAAGTGTGACATATGTACTAATGCATAAATCTCATAATGCATAGGGTCGAAGGGGGTCCCGACGTTATGCATTATGAGATAGTGTACTGTACTGACGTTAGTCCGCAGTCAGCAGCAACTGGCATTTTCATTTTGATAATAAATGTTGGTTTCTATTGCCCCAGCTGGATGCAGCCACACTGAGACGTTCATCACTGCCATGTCAAGTCAGTTATTGAATGGAAGCAAAGTCCCAACAGTTGGGACCTGGATGGGTATGGTGACCTTAGAGTTGGGTCCGACCAACTACAACTTGAACGTCATCGTACTCCTCCAGTCAAAAATACTTGTAATTATAATCATATCACTCATGGTGTCACCAAAATATTTGCTTTTTGTACGAAGCTAGAATAGGTCTAAGCACCATGTTAATGTGTGCAGCTAAGGATAACATACCTAAGCAAGTGATGAAATAACGCTGAGGCAGACGACAATATTAGACATGCAGCACAAAGTACCATGCATTATGTAAGTCTCAGAATGAGTGGCTTGATGGAAGACAAGAAGAAGCAAAAGAACTGTACAGTACTTGGTTAGGTGACGAAGAATGCGTTAACGCCACAGATTTCCTCGTGTGCAAAACTGATGGACAACTGATTGTTCATCAACATCCTTAGTATCCCAACCTCCCGTTGCTTGAGTCTCGCAAGATTAGACTAGTGCGTACCCCCGTGCGCAGATTGCACATGGTGCTACGCACTAGTCTAATCTACCCAGGAATGTAAGGCTATCCCAGGATGACGCTCAATACCCATGATGCTCTCGTCGTGACTCAATTTTATAAGGGTTCAAGCTTGCGCGGAGCGGCATGGCCCAGGCATATCACACAATGATGCTTGCAAATTCATTGATCAAGGAAACGTGAGCTACAATCAATTCAATCAATAAGAGCTACCCTGCTATCAATAACGGTCCTAAACAATGCTGGATGTCAGCTACAGTGAGTACGATTCCTGAACTCCAGGGATCACCCGAAAGTGAGGGAAGAACGAGCTGCTGTGAGAGGTGAATGCGGAAACAAATCTTGGTCAAGTAGGCGGAAAATATGGGGCTATTAGGTGAGTTTACCGACAGGCAAAGACTCGTCACTAAGAGGGCTGTTGCTGGGCATATTGCTGTTGGTAGTACTGGGCGTAGTTCGCTGCATAATCCTGTGAGCCGTAACCTGGGTAGCCTTGCTGGCCCCACTGCGCGCCATATCCAGGAGCACTATAGCCACCGTAAGCTTGTGGTGGGCGATACCCTTGGTTTTGTGGAGGATTGTTGGATTGCCAGGACTCTGGTCGACGCCAAGGTGGAATGTTGGACCCGCCCGCAGTGATGTCATGACCAGCACTGGGGGCACCCCACGAGCTCTTGGCAGTATCACCGCCTGTGCCTCTGCCACTCTCGCCAAGCTCTGCCATCAAGCTAGCGTACTCAGAGTCAAACCCTCCCTTGTTCATGGGAGGCGGGCTGCCCATAGCGATAGCGTTGGGGTCCTTGTTAACGGTACAGTCGCGCGCCATGTGGCCTGCACTACCACAGACACGACATATGATGTTAGCTGTGAAGTTGCGCTGTTCCGGACAGTCGTATTTTCGGTGACCAAGACCACCACAGTTCTGACAAATCTGGTTTTCGTCGTCACGAAGGGTACCGTTCAATGCAGCAAGCTCGCGGAGCTGATTGCGCTTGTGGTCATTCTGACCCTCGGGAGTGGAGGCAGCCTAGAAAACTTTCAGTAAAAGATCGATGATGGTAAATTGGACTTCTTACTGTTTCAATGACCCTGTTAATCATCTTCACACATGCTGCAACTTTCTCTTCAGAATCAGCGAGAACGAGACAGTGAAGATCTTCTTCTGCGTCATCAGCATACTGGTCAGGACGAGCTTTGCCTTCCTTCACGCTTCCCTTGCCACGGATACTGATTTTGGCACCACTTTCTCTCTCCATCTTTTTCAAACTGTTGCCACGAGGACCGACAAGAAGACCAAAGAAATTGATTTCAGGGAATTCTTTGACAGGAATATAAACTTTTTCGGATGGACGTTGGGAACGCTTTTGCTGATGGTATTCCACAGGAGGGCGAAAGTTGGGGTCATTCTTCATAGCGCGATCGACAAGGCGAATCCGCTCGTCTTCGAGCTTTTTGCGATAGCGGACCTCGCGGGTGTTAGTACGACGACCGTGACCGTCATATGTGGGTGGAGGCGAGGGTGATCTGACGCCAGAATGAGCATATGCGTTTGTAGAAGTCGAAGAACCATCTACTTACCGCTCACGCTCGGGCGGGATAAAATCATTTAAACGCAGCTTGCGATTAATCTCTTCCAGCCTAAGGTGAATTGCATAATTGTCGAGCTGTGCCTGAGAAACGCCGGCAGCGGAGATGGCAGTAGGCAAACCAGGGATGTCTGTCTTTGCTTCTCCCCAGCGGCTCCGCCTTTTACGAGCACCATTAGCGTCAGCTGTGGGTAAGTGAAAAGCACATGGTATCAAGGTTAGTAACACAGTCAGTTAGTGATTAGTAAGATTGTAACAGCAATCGCAACAGACGGGCTGCCAGGATCACCAGCAAATCTCACAGGACCTGCTATAGAGAAATGCTTGGCAAGGAAGCACGACTTGGGAAGTCGGTGTTCAAGAATGATGGGCTTACTTTGAGAATTGGTGGGGGTCTCCTCCCTCCCCCTCCTCGAGTCTTGGTCTTGATTGGACTGTTTGGGATAGGCAGAGGGAGATGGCTGGGCAAGTTGCGGGCGCGCAGTTTCTTCTGCGGGCGCAGGTCCAAATCGACGACGGGTGCCCAGGGGAACTGACCGAAGATTTGTCAGATAATTTAGGGTTTGGTCACAAAACGACCGACCTTCATTGGTTCCGGTAACCTCGCGAGTAGCAGGCCTCCACATTTTGAACTGGGATGTCAACAAGAAAAGGCTCGAGAGCGTGACCGCGAGTGCAACAAATTGGAAGATGAGCAAGATGTAAATCAATCTCCGAAACCTTGCCTCCAGTTGTTTATGGACTCCGCTCAAATGAGCTTGCTGACAAATCAGCTTTAGCACTGTACTAAGTTACTATTACATAATGATTCTGAAGTCCAACGCTTCAAGCTCTTCAAGCTCTGGTGTCAGCTCCTCCATCAAATTCCAAAAGGGCCTCACCTTGATGAGTGGAACAACCCCGGCTCCAGTACGGTCATGAAACGCAACCGCACTGTGGTCCGTGGCTACGATTCAGTTTTACCAAATTGCGAGGCTTGTCCGAGTCAGTACTGCTGCATGTCTCGATTAACCAACAAAGTGCTGGCAGCCCTTCCCAGTCCTCCTACCTGTCTATCCTTCAAAACATGACGCGTGCAGCCGATATACTACCCAAGCTACTATCGCTGTTTGCCCTTTCTTCTAGGTACTACAGCCGATCGTCACCATTCCGCTCTCTAACTATTCATTCCCTACCCTACACCTACTAGCTCTCGGTCCTTGCCCCTCCTGCAGTGATCCGCACATTCGCCCGATTTTGCGCCTGCATGGGCTGCCGTGTCTTATCCACAAAAAGTTTCTTTCTATAAGACTCACTCACTGGCGTTCTCAGACGCCGGGTATCTTCTGTCCCGTTGTTACTCTCGATTGTCAAAGCAATCATTCCGCTTATGAAATTCGTGAACAGTACAAAGTGTGTACTTTGAATGTTTCAAGCAAAAGGAGGGGCAGCTACATTAGTGTTCCATGAAAGACTGCCGAGTCTTCGACACACCCAGCTCGTGACATGGTTTTAACTGTCCGATACTTGGGGATTAAGATTAATCTGTGGGTGTCAATGGCTGTCGGAAACCCTAGTAGGCCATTCAAGTTGTCAGTGTTTTGAATTCATGGTACTATGTCACGGAAGGCTCGACTCGGAAGTCACATCCAAACAGTTTCGTGGTGACTTCCAATGATGACTGATATTGCCTTTTGTCCTCCGTAAGCCTTGCGTGCGCCCTGGATAGGGAATACGTGTTGTATGGCGGTTCAGAAACCGCTATCAGTCGCGGGGTTGGGGTCACCTTATGACCGAACGACAAGTAGGCCATGTTCATGGCTTTCCGATTGACCGATGAATTCCCTTGAGTCCGAGTCAGGAGCTCACTGAGCTGAATGTTGGAGGCAAACTTAAAAATTAGCAAAATTGCCTGCTCGTCCATGATGCATGATGTCTTGTGGGCCAGTACGTATCTCGAAAGTACAATTTCTCGCAGCAAGAGTGTAATTAGTGACATGGGTGTTTGAATGGATTGAATGACCCGGAAACTTCGGAAGGCTTGGCCGAGCTGTGGACTGGCACACGGTCACGTGCATGCACAAACCCGGCGATGCAGATTGCATTCAACTTCACTGCAACTCATTCATTAAACTGAGGCTGCCTTGCGATACCCTTTCTTTTCTTGCGATTTCTGCTTTGGCTATTGCAGGATATGGGTGTAGCGGGACTTTGGGAGGTTTTGTCGCATGAGTTGACACGAAGTTTTGCTCAAAGTCACGGTCTACTTAATAGGTGCTACGACCAGCTGGACAAACACAGTCATTAAACATCTATCTGTTACCCAAGGATTTGAAGCAAATGCTGGTGGTCGACGGGGCTTTCGCATAGGCATTGATGCTTCAATTTGGTTCTTCCATGCTGCGTACGGTAAAGAAGGAGAGAATCCGGAATTGCGCACGCTCTTCTTTCGCTGTTCCAAACTCATGAGCATGCCTCTCCTCCCACTCTTTGTATTCGATGGTCCAAAAGGCCTTCTGTCAAGCGCGGGAAGAGAGTAAGCGGCAATGCGCACTGGCTCACTACTGGAATGAAAAACATCATTGCTGCTTTTGGTTTTGAATGGAGAACGGTGCGTGTACGCGAAGTGATGACGAAAAGAGTATTTATGATGTACAGGCTCCTGGCGAAGCTGAAGCTGAGCTTGCGTACCTGAATCGCATCGGAGTCATCGATGCTGTCCTCTCCGATGATGTGGATAACTTTCTATTCGGCGCCACTATGGTCATTCCGCAAGTAAATCCTGTCACCCTGAGCAAATCGTCCAAACGCTGACTCTTGGATAGCCCCAGCAACACGCTTTCCGGAAACCGCGCGCACCCAGTGAAAAACTCTGACGGACGTGATGATGGAAACCACGTCGTGACGTATCGCGCCGCTGATATCCTCTCCCACGACGATATCTGTCTCTCGCAAGGAGGCTGTATCTTAATTGGCCTCCTCTCTGGCGGAGACTACCATCAGGCTGGCGTTCAAGGCTGCGGGAAGCTCATTGCTGCTGGCCTCGCACGTTGTGGATTCGGAGATCGACTGCTAAAAGCAGCCAGCTCCCTCAGCCGCGAGGAGCTAGAGAAATGGCTTGACACGTGGCGTGATGACGTGCGCGAGGAACTGCGTACGAACAAGAGTGGCCTCATCGGATCGAAAAAGCCTGCACTCGCAAAGAAGATTCCTGATGGTTTTCCTGATGTCGATATTCTACTATCCTACACCAATCCTATCACAAGCGAGACAGAGGGTAAACCTACGCGAGACATTACTTGGGAACAAGAGCCCGACATTGGTAAAATCGCTGCACTTTGCGAACTGTACTTCGAATGGGGTGTGAAGGATGTGATCATCAAGCGTTTTCGCACAGTTTTGTGGCCAAGCGCCGTGCAACGTATCCTGCGGCGTTGGTGCGATGGAAAAGGACGAGAAGAAGCGTAAGGGTTTACCAGTGAGCCCTAAAAAAGCAAGACAACAGGCAAACTTGCTCCGGGAACGCCCTCGAAGATGATTACAAAGTACTTTTCGTCGATGAAGCTCCACTCTCCAACCAAAGACGACCGCGAGGAGCAAGAGCATAATGATACTGAATCCGAAGCAGAAGAAGATAGGCTGATTGTCAAGATTCACTCCTCGCGACGGCACGCGTCTACGGATGGAATTCTTGAGTATCGACTGGAGATTGCGCCTGTGCAGCTCGTACAGTTGGCTGGGGGCGGTGTCCAAGGAATTAGGCCCCCAATCGAAGTAGATGCTGCTTTCGATGACACCGAAGGTGACGATGAGGATGAGGATGGCGGAAAGCAAAAGGGCAAGAGCAAGGGAAAGAAACCTCCACCAGACCCTGAGAGCCACCTTCGTGTATGGATGCCAGCATGTATGGTGCAGATCGTAGAGCCAGAGCTTGTCGAAGCTTTCGAAGACATCCAGCGCAGAAAGCTGGAGAAAAAGACCAAGCGATCGAACAAGACGGATGGGAAGAAGAAGGCTGCTCTCACTGCGCAGGGAGATAGCGATGGAGATGCCCTCCCTGTTCTAGCCCCTGCAAAGAAGAAACCTACCCGTCCGAAGAAAGCGGTAGCGGGGCGGGAGGACAGCGGGCACGCTCCTCGCTCTCTCCCAAGCATCAATGCTTCTGACGATCCTTTCCTAGAGCCCAAGAATGCTGTCCGTACTGATAAATCTCAGCAGTCTGAAACTGGTTCTAAGAAACATACGAAATCGTCTGACTCAGATTTCCCACAGTCCCACATAACCAAGTCTCCAAGAAAATCTCCGCAGCAAACATCTCCGCGCTCGTCAGGCTTAATCAGACCCATGGGTTCAACATCATCTATACAGCCAATGCGCAAGCTCAACGACATCATTGATATATCAAACATGACGGAGAGGAAAAAAGAAAGATGTTTCCACCACACAAGACGACAGCGATAAGGATGCTCTCCCTCTTCCATATCCTCCGAAGAAGACAACAGCCCGTCGAAAGAAAGCAGTTGTGGAACCCGAGGCCACCGCACTTGCTCCTCGTCCTTTCCCGATGTCAGGTTTCATCAGTACTCCTGACGATCCTTTCACAGAGCCCACGAATCCTATCCACGCTCATACATCCCAGCAGTCCTCACAAACCGGCTCTAAGAAGCATACCAAATCGTCCGATTCCGAATCCCTCCACCCCCCCGTAACCAAATCTCCTAGGAAAACGCCGCCGCGGATATCCAGCTTGATCACGCGCCCAAATTCACCATCACCTGTGCAGCCGATTCACAAGCTCGACGATATCATTGATATCTCTAGTGATTCCGATGTACCATTACCACCCACAAAACTTTCTGTCAAAGCACCCCTACTGCTTGCCAGAGAGAAAGCCAAGAAGGGGAATAGTTTATCTCATGTCAAAAGCAAACGCCCTGGCCTCGAGTCGACATCCAGGGGCCAATCAACGAGAGTAGTTGTGGCAGAGAACGACATCATTGATTTGACTTGCTGAATCGATCGTTATAAGGGTTGGTTGGTTGTACAACAAGCTAGTATGTGTAGTAGACGGATCTACGGGATATATACCCTCTGTATTTTCTGTATTCGCCAGATGCTCATTCTTCACGAGCTTGTCGATCTTAGCATGATTCTTCCATTGGAGATACGCCCCGGCTGCTGTAGAACGATATCATAATACAGTACCAAGCAAACTAACACAAGGATAACGCAAGTAAAGCATTCCAGCTGACTGAAACCTCCAGTAGACTCCACTCTGACTCGACCGAAACGCTCCTTGTCTCCTCGTACACGTGAATGATTCCTTCTAAGAACTAAAATACCTTCTCGTAGATAACAATTGCAGGCTTTTTTGAACAAAAGCTGCACCTGGTACAATCCGAAATTCTGAACTATGTCTTCACCTATCGTCGAGACGCAGGAGACATCAACGATAGCCTGAGCACGTATGGAACTTGAAGAACGGGAAACAAACAAGGACGACTAACGGGACGGAAAAAGTGAAGTGTAGACTATATGACGAGATGAAAGCGGTCAGCGGGAGTTTGGATGGTGCTCTGAGATTGTGGGACATCGATACAGCCAAGGTCATTGTTAAATCGACGTGGCGCAGGCGGCAAATGTGATATCTCTGCTGGAGTCGAGATGGTCGGCAAGTGTTAAGCGGATCTAGTAACGATGGGAGTGCAAGGCAATGGGACGTGCAGAGCGGGGAGACTAGAGTCGGTCCAATCGAAACTGGGCAGGAAAACGTGTGGGCAGTCTACTAGTCGCAAGTATGATCATGTCTGGCGCGACTCGCAATCAAACCAGATATGACAATACTTGTGACTGGTAGTCCTGGACCCAAGAACACACTGAATGCTTGGTCAACATTTGGGATGCGAAGATGCGTTTCTAAGTCGCCGCTGCAGTCCACCGTCCCCTAGGGTAGGGCGCTGTTAACATGGGGAGGGGAGGGCTAGTAAAGCGGATTGGCAGTGGTTTCGTGCGAAAGCTCTTGTCAGGGGGCTGCCGCTACCCCTACCGCTTGTACTTCTAGTTCTACTTAGAAAGTCTCTCCTTCTTAAGCCTTTTTCTATGGGATCGTGCGAAACGGTGTTCCGTGCGATACGACGGTCCGTGCACCATCTATGACCCATCGATGGTGAAGTTTTACAGATATGGGCTAATCCTTATCATAGACGAATGAGTCTTACATAAGCCCCGAGACGACAAAGAAAACGACCAAACGTATAAGAGCCTTTCGACTCGTCTTCGGGATTTCATGCACATGATCATGAGTCCTACGGAAAATGCCTTGGACCCCAGCGCCTATCTCCAGGGTCATACGATCAATGTCGACACAGTCCGTCAAACAACAATGGGTGGCGGCCTGTCTACCTACATGAAATCGAGAGATATCGCTCACTCTGGTCATCGTACTGTCAATCGTACACTTCGCCTGTGAGCAGGGCCGCTATGGAATCATCACATCAGGCACTTAATACCACATTGCAATGATTGCACAGTACCCTCGCTTCCCTCAGTGCAGTCACGGTATTCTCGCTGCCATGCAGCGCATGCTAAGGTTGCGTTTCTGATGGACCACTCTGATTCACATGCTCATGAGATAAATTTAACTTCTTTCTCGAAACTCCAGTACAGCAAGTGCGTAATGCAGACGCCTTGCGGCTGTGGCGTTAGATAAATGCAAGATGGCCTGTTCTTTTTCGTTCTTCCCCCGTCTGTTACTGTATCACTGCCCCCGTCTACTACCGTATCACTGTGCAATAACTCGCCATGATCACAGGCCATTTCATCCACATTCTCAACATATTGAAGAAATGGCTTTCACGACTTGCACGTCCCTCTGCGAGGTTATTTTTCGTTATCTCTTCACTGCAACGCTTTGTAGCAGGTCATTTGAAGTTCGGTGATCGGAGCTTGATCACTCGTTTTCCCAGCGGGGTGCTCCCGCGATCTCAAGAGGATATCAAAGGAGAGGGTTCACCCATTTGCCCGAGTCTTCTGCTGCCTGGTCAAATAGGGCGGGAAGCTACGGAGGAGCTTCCATCGCCTTCAGACGATCCTTACACAGAATCCCATTTACGACATCCACGACCTGTACGAAATGGTACAGCGATCCCTCCGTTGGACGCTAATCCAACAACGATAGGATACACCAGCGCCACTCAAACAGGTGGGCTCCATCAAGGCTCTGTGTCAAGTTTACATCTGTCTTTGCATATGGAAGAGAGTTCCGTGAAAAGCAAGACGTTCCCCAAGGACGGGGCATTACAGGAATTCAACAGTCCAGGCCCCTCACGCCTTTCTGGCCTCTATGAAGTATCCACAACACATTCACAACCACGAGGATACATGGACGATGCTCACTCTGTTAATTCAACGCGCTCGCCATCCATGAGGCATTTGGCGCCTTGTATGCCTTATTCCCAACACGCGTCCGGCAGTCGTGTTTCGGTGAGCACGGGCCACTCCTCTACACGATCATGTGCTGGTTCAGAAATCCGACAAGCCGCATATCGAACACACAAGGGGCCTGTCTATTCTCGCCCGATTCAAGTTAGCGTCTCTAGTATCACGGATATACATCATGGATCCCCGAATACGGTTTCTATTCCATTGGATTTGTCTGCCCAGGCTGTGCCGATATCAGATCACGGTCTCGATCATGATGTGCATTTCACCGCTCCCCCCGCCCCCGGCAGCAATGAGCTACCGGGCCCAGAGGTCGTCATGGTCTATGACGGCCCGGAGATATCCCCTATGGTTTCAAAGGATGTTGGGAGGTATGAGAGGTGCCGTGTCCGGTGAACATCTGTCTACTTTCCTGCATTTACTCAACAGCTGACCTTTCCAAAGGGACCCCGCCGTCACCGACATCACCGTCCGTGCTATGACAATTTTTGCGCATGAGTAAGTCATTTTATGAATTTTGAGTTGCCACACCTCAACTTTTTCAAGAATGGATGTGCCCCAAGGATGGACCGCGTTCGTGCATCCAGAAGGTGCCCGTTATTTTGTGAACCAGGAAACAGTGCGTCAAATCCATGGATTATTGACGACCGATGGTCTAAGTTGGGGCTATAATGCGCAGAGAACATTCACAGAAATGAATATTTGTGAGCCAGAGATATACGATGACATCAAATACTTCATGCAATATTTGCTGGAACAACTCCAGCAGACCATTGAGGAATCGAACCTCGCGCTCGACATGAAGCAGGTAGACCTTGTGATTGAGCCCAAGGTCTTTGATAGCGACTCTGTCGTCTGTTGCTATTATTTCGCCAATCACCGCGACAGGTGCCTCTTTTGGTTGGATAAATTCCATCCCGAAAAGATTATTTCGGAATGTAAGGGCGTCCGGAGTCTCTCACATATATGTGAGTAGCTAATAGTTCTAAGAGGATCTGGATTTCATGACTTGTCCTCTTTTTCATAACTAGGGCTTGCCATTGAAGCACAATACTGGTGTGTTCTAGCAAAGGTTCGCACAGTATCTTTACCTCACTGTCCTATTCCTGATGAAATTCTAGATCATATGCAAGTAAATTAACATACAATGTAGGAAACATTGGGATTACTTTCCTAGCTTGTGCCCGATTACACAAAACATTGTCGATGAGCTTAGGGATATGTTGATACATGCGACATGTGGTCAGTACTCTCCTAGATCTGATAATTTGATCTGATGCATCCGGTCGCAACGAGCAGACCACTTGACATCGCTGCAGTCTTCTGCGGCATTTGATGCCATTGAACTCAAGGATCATCTTTCTGTGGTTGATAAAATCAAGGGTGTGTTACTTTGATTCTTCTCTCAGACGCCATGCGCTAATCCCAATTTTCGAAGTCGATCCGACTTCCCCTACGGACCAGAGTATGCGGCGAGGGCACGCTGCTATTGTCATTGGTAAGACTTGAGCCTGAGTTTGATCCATTCCATTACTGGTGTTGATCATCATTTAAGGCCGCATCATGCATATATTCGGTCAGTGCTCTCATTTATACATCCAACTGTAATTTACGATCATTTCAAGCTCATAATCACTTTGTGCATTATTACGGTGAAGACTGCGTGAGACTGAATTTTGAACAATCGGTCCACGGTTGGACATATAAACCATCACCGTTGATGGTCATTTTCGCACCCCTCCTGTTCTTTGACCCTGTGGCTCAAGTTCAAGAACTGCACAAGATTTTTGTCGACGAGGTTGCTTGCTCGGCACGATGGAATGAATTCTGCTCGAAATTCAAAGGGCAGCTTCAGGACTCCAACCTCTTGGTAAGTCCACCTTTTCATTGTTGTCAACTTTGATGCGATCAATGTTGAGCCAGGCCACTGTCTTACTCAATGCAAACGTTGGGTTCCTCGCCATCAACAGTGTTGATAGAGGCGGTAGAGATGCCATTCAGTTGGCAAGCTACATGTCCTTGGTGACGAGCTTGGGGAGCATGGTCCTCGGCCTGTCCTTTGTCTCATATGATCGAACCTCTGGACAAAATACAGCCACGGAAGCGGTCAGTATATTCCACCGTGTTACTGGAATATTTCTTATGGCAGTTTGTTCAGGTAGAATTTCTAGGAAGACTTCACGACAGAAAACACGGACTGGAAAAGTTGGCTATAATTTATAGCCTCCCAAGAGCGTTGCTTATGTGGGGGTGAGTCTGCATTCTAATGTAATAGGCGGAGGCCCTGATATCAATATATTAGCATGGCATTCTTCTTTGCGGCATTCTCGATCGATTGGTGGACTTCTGGAGATATGACTTCCAGGACCGTTGTCGGGACTGTGACACTGGTCGTATTGGTGACGATTTCAAACAGCATTATTCTCACCAGGGGGTCAACCTGGCTGTGTGGAGACATCGCCAAGAAACTATCGTCTCGTCTGACTGACATTTGGAAGCAAGTCATGAAGCTCAACCAAATAGACCCTACTGGCGACCCTCGAATCCACACTGACCTTGGTACTTCCGTTAGCCTCTCCGCCGAGGCGGATGCTTCAATGCACAGCACCTCTCATATTGCAGCTTTGCCTAGTTCAGAGATACTGGGCCCAGACAACCATGAAAATCACCCCAACTTCCCCTATCCCCCTGGTTCAGCTACCCCTTCCCACCGCTTCCGTAGATGCACCTCAGCAACCACATGCTGCCAACTTCGTGCTGCCACCATCGGATTCATGCACCAACCCAGGTGTTCTGTCAGGCACAGACTCTCCGCAACAGATTCGAGAAAATACCCAGACGGTTTTCCAGGACCAATCTACCACGGAGGCTCACAGCGAGCCTGGCGTTACCCACTTATGCATTCCCTTTAACACGTTACCAAGCTCTGCATCAGAAGAGACGGTTGGGACACCGACAAATGCACTACGGCATTCTGATGCTCTCCCAACCGCGGCCACCATCCTGTCCAAGCATAGCTTACAAAGTGCAGCGGTAGCCACCGACTCGGGCGCACCCAAATTGCCTGGTTCACTTGGTACAGAAGAAGGGGAGGGTGTGATATGCACCAAGAACTTGGTCGAAGAGCCCCGGGAACTCGAACATCCTCAACCTTCGCCGAGCACAACGCCACCTCCAAGAATTTATGCTAGAAGTGCCACTGGTGACCAATTCCGTCATGCACCAGGGGCTCCGCTACTTGAAACCGGCCATGACATAGTAGAGGAGTGCTAAGAGTAGGAATACATACTGGTTCTGACCTGCAGGGTCGCCATGGCAGATCATGAAGGACATGAGGGCCGTCGAGCTCGTGGCCGTTATTCAAGCTTCAATGACCGTGGAAAGTGCACATGAACAGCTGCGGCTGGGACCTAGTAGTACATCTCGCCTGCGATGATCCAATTGCCTTGGGCATCGCAGAAAATTAGACATGTCTTTCAGGAAGCCCGACGTGTCAATCAAAAGCGACACGTTCACCGCGGAGGGATAAAGTCACAAAGGGTCATAAGCATACAAATGGCACGGAAAAAAGCATGGTGCGCAGAGATGTCATCTTTCAAAGTTGTGATATGAGTCTTCTACGAGGCTAGTTACGTACAACAGTGGTAGCATACAGTATACAGAAAGAGTAGCACGACTGACCATCGTATGACGAAATCTGTAATGAATAGTGCAGAATGTCAACATGGCTGCCACGGCAATACATATTGGAATGAAGGAACAAGGGCAACGTATTCCGCTCGCTGCTCATCTATCATCACACTACCTCTGATGATCAGACTCTCCAGTGGAGACCCTAACTGTGCCAAGAATGCCTTGAACTCCTCGTGAGGCCACTGTGGTACATTGTAAACAATAAGTACGTGTAGAGTGGGGAGTGAGAGAGTATTGAGCAGGTCGCAGAATTTGGGCTCTGGGACATCATAACATTTATAAAAAATGGTCAAGGTTTGGAGGTTTGGGTGTGTGAATGGCATTAACGGTTCGCTGTCAACGAATAATATGCAAATCATTAACGATGATAGGTTGGGAGCTAGCTGGAGCAAGTGGGGGACAGCTTTTTCTGTCCGTACTGCGATCCCGAGCGTTGTCAGATGGGCCCATACGGGATTGCAAGAGGACAAGTCGTCGAGGTTGAGTAACCACCCTATCACATAGAGACTGCACATAGTGGACGGCAGTTGCGACGAGGTAGAGCGTGGAATACTAGCTGGCATATCACGACCAGAGATATCCTCATACACAAAAATCTCCTCGAGTGCTAGGAGTTCTCTGAACATATTAAGTGCAGGTGTTTTGCGATGGTAAAATTCAACAGAGAGAGATGAAATTTGATTGATGTAAGGCTGAAGAAGGCGTCGTAGCTTGGTCGAGTGATCAACTGCGTGGAAGTGGATTTTTAACGAGAGTGGTCGTTCTCGTGTTCGTTTGAGCCAAGAGTCGTAGCAGAAGGCTACCTGCTGCCAATTTCTGTCGTCAACTTCCACAGACAGCACACACCACAAGTTTGGCATGCCCACAGCAACCTCCCTCCACCGTCGACATATTCTGGTCAACAGCATAGGTGCAGTTAGCTTTGATGGGGCCTGGAATTGATGGGGTTCTGTGATTTGCGGGAGACAGTGGTAAAATATTTGAGACAGGATTTCAGTTGGCAAGCGCCAAAGAGGCGATACGAGCCTCTTGTGCAAATAAATGGATTCGACGATCTTGTTCTTCTGCTCGACGAGTTGCTGCTGAAGAGTGTGAATACCATCCATGACTATTTGCAAACTTGAGATGTCGTGCAAAACGGTGTCCAACTGATGTTGGCGTCCGGTGACAATGGTACTGATGCTCTGGCCTTTGAACTCAATTGCACAGTGATTGGGATTGGGAAATGCGGTTCGGGAGTGGGGGGTTTCGAGGTCGGGTATCTCAGTCTGCCAATGGTCAATAACGTATCAGATGAAACATCTTCACGGACGTACAATTTCTCGTGAACATAGCTGGAGCAAATGGTTGTTATTCGCAGAGGAGTGTCTAAAGCTTGAGCACTTACGATAGTCTACAGTGCAGTAATGATATCCGAGACTGTCGAAATATCGGCTTTTGAATCAATTGTTTGCGTGTTGCGTCGCAAAGTATGTGCAACTAGTACTTTGGGAGAGTTCTGAATCTGAAAAGGGGCTCAGGAGTACAACTTGACTAGTATGAAAAATGTGGCATGACAGCAAATCGAACGGCTAGTATTACATCCTGCCTGCGATGGTCGTCTTGTCCAATTGCCTTGGGCAACCTAGAAAATTAGTCATATCTTTCAGGAAGCCCGTCCATGGCGACGTGTCAACCAAGTGGTATGGTAAAGTGACACGTTCACCGCCCTAGCCAAGGACTAGGATAGACACAGATGCTCTTGATAAAATCTGTGTGGTGATGACAACTTGAAGGAGGGATAAAGTCGCAAATGGTCATAAGCATACAAATGGCACGGAAAAAGGCATGGTGTGCAGTGATGTCATCTTTCGAAATTGTGATACGAGTCTTCTACTAGGCTAGTAACGTATAGCAGTGGTAGCATAGAGTATAGTAACTTCAGAAAGAGTAGCACAATGGACCATCATATGGCGAAACCTGTAATGAATGGTGCAGGGTATGGTACAAATTGGAACGAAGGAACAAGAGCAACGTATTCCGCTTGCTGCTCATCTGTTACCACACTACCGCTGACGATCAGACTCTCCAGTGAACACTCTGACCGTGCCAGGAATGCCTTGAACTTCTCATGAGGCCACTCTGGTACACCGTGAACAGTAAGTACGCGTAGAGTGGGGAGTGAGAGAGCATCGAGCAGGTTGCAGAAATCGAGCGTCTCCTCATCATCATCACAGTCATAACTGACTCGGATGTGTAAGGTTTGGAGGTTTGCGTGTGTGAATGGCTGCAACGCTCTCAGGATGCTGTGGAAGAGTATGATGCGAATCGTTAACGAGGATAAGTTGGGAGCTAGCTGGAGCAAGCGGAGAAGAGCTTTTACTTGCCACACTGTGATCCCGAGTGTTGTTAGATGAGTCCATACGGGATCGCAACTGGACAAGTCGTAGAAGTCGAGTGCCCAGCCTGATACATCGAAACTGCGTAGAGTGGACGGTAGTCCCGAGATGATAGAGTCTACAATATAACTTGGCATCTCACAAGCATGGATATCCTCTTCGAAGTACATGGATATTTCCTCAAGTGCTAGAAGGCCTTTGAACATATTGGGTTTAAGTGTGCCGAGACGATAGAAATCGACAGAGAGAGATTTGATTTGATTGGTGTAAGGCTGAAGAAGGCATTGTAGCTTGGTCGAGTCATCATCTGCGTGGAACTGGAGTCTTAACCAAAGCGGACGTCCCTGTGCTCGCTTGAGCCAAGAGTCGTAGCTGAAGGCTACCTGCTGCCAATTTCTGTCGTCAACTTTCACAGACAGCACACGCCACAAGTTGGGCATGTCCACAACAACTTCCCTCCACCGTCGACATATTCTGGTCAACGACATAGGTACGGTTAGCTTTGATGGTGGCTCCAATTCGCCGAGTTCCGGGATTTGCAGGAGACAGTGGCAAAATATTTGGGACAGGACTTCAGTTGGTAAGCGCCAAAGAGGTGATACGAGCCTCTTGTGCAAATCGATGGATTCGATGATCTTGTTCTTCTGCTCAACGAGTTGCTGCTGAAGAGTGTGGACACCATCCATGACTGTTTGCAAACTTGAGATGTCGTGCAAAACGGTGTCCAACTGATGTTGGCGTTCGGTGATAATGGTACTGATGCTCTGGCCCTCGAGCCCAATTGCACAGTGATTGGGATTGGGGAATGTGGTTCGGGAGTACGGCGTTTCGAGGTCGAGTATCCCAGGAGGCTGCTAATGGTCAATAACGCATCGGATGAAACATCCTTACAGACGTACAATTGTTCGTGCCAAACGTAGCTGAAGCAAATAGTTGTTATTCGCAGAGGAACGTCTGAAACTTGGGTACTTACGATAGTCTGCAGCGCAGTAATGATATCCGAGACCGTCGAAAGATTGACTTTTGATTCTAAATTGATTGATTGCATATTGCGACTCGCAAAGTACGTGCAGCTAACATGTACTCGTGAAGAGAGTTCAAATATCATAGGCGGAGTCTAGATCTGGCATATATATACAACGATAAATACAGTGTACCGAACTTGACAAGTATGAAAAATGTATATGTGCGGCATGGAACCGTCACCAAAGCATCCACCATACGTCAATTATATAGGATACAATACGGAATTCAGAAGAGGCAATCATTTGGTGGTCTTACAAGTTTACTATTAGACTCGAGCTCGACTCGGAGGAGCCGAAACGCTATATAGCCGCCATAGTGCAGAGTATCAACGCAATACAAATTGGAACGAAGGAACAAGAGCAATGTATTCCGCTCGCTGCTAGCGCTCATCTGTCATCACACTACCGCTGACGATCAGACTCTGTAGTGGACACTCTGACCGTGCTAGGAATGCCTTGAACTCCTCACGAGGCCACTCTGATACACCGTGGACAGTAAGTACGCGTAGAGTGGGGAGTGAGAGAGCATCGAGCAGGTCGCAGAAATAGAGCATCTCCTCATCATAATTTGTAACGGTGGCACTTCCCCAAGTGCCTTGTTCAATGTTTATCATCTTATTCCTGTCAAGCTCCTAACTACACTCATTTGTTAGCTGTCCCTACAGTTGCTCGATGTCGTCATCGGCCGAGCTCCTTACCACCCGTCTACCTTTGACGTTTCCGTGTCTCCCCGAAAAGGTACTACTGTAGAGCTACGACACTAGGTTCGTCACAGGTCACAGCCCTTGACGAATCGAATCTATTTGGTGTGACCGTCACATGAATTTTGGCGGGACGAAGCTAATTTGTGACATTCGGAAAAAACATAGGAAAAACATAGGTTGTGCACTAATGGGACCAAAAATCATTATACATCGAATTTGTGATGCGTCTACGCTTTCCACGCCCATAATCAACCGTCGGAACACTGTTCGAGCCACCTTCCACATCTTCAGCGGCAATGCCACCCACATCATAGACTTCGGAGTGGCTTGCACACGAAAGTCCACCATCTGCATTGATATGGCAGTCAGAACGGACCTGTTCACCCCCGGAAGCCATATGGTCAAGAAGTGCATCCATTGGCACGTCACACAATCACGAAGCAGCAGCATGTCAGATGGTTGCAAGCGGCGAAGCACCCGCGGGCGAATCTATTTGGGTGTGGTCACAGGTCACATGGTCATTCGAACCAGTGACACTGAGTGTGACATAATCACACGCTGCACGTGACGAAGCTAGTGTCGTAGCTCTACAGTACGCTGTTTGCTTAAATACTGTACACAGTAGTAGTGCTACCTTAGTGTTTTCTGGACCCCCAAATATCAGACTTTTACCCTGTTATTTCCCGAGAGCATTCTTCTCTTGTGCCGCTGACTTCGAGCTTCATGCGCTAAATAATCATCGCCACATAGCACTTTGAAGTAGATCAAGGGAACCGACGATTTCCCGATGACGCCTTTCCTGTAGCGCACGTTCTGAAGGTGACAGTCGCAAAAGACTACGAGAGATCTCTAGAAGGTGGTCATTATTTCAGCCATAATCTTGAGGAAAGATAACGCACCGGCAGGTGGCTGTTGGACAACAACATGCAGGTGTCCTTCCTCAGGTAGACTAGAGAAGACCGTGGACAATTTGGCCAGGGGTAATAGCGGTAGCTTGTGCTCAATGTCACGTCGCACATTGCTCTCGAGAGGCATCATCGACAGTGAGGTTGGCGACCTTCCTGAGTATCAGATCAATAGTATCAGATCATAGGCATTAGATTACTTACATTCCATAGCTGGAGACGGTCAGCGGCGACAGCGTTGAATTCAGGCCTCTTCTCTTCCTTGATCAACTTTTTGAGGTCACCGACACTCTCCGTCCGTGTGATCTTGATCGGGAAGGTGTAAATGGGGTCATCACCCAAGACCAAACAGTTGAGGCTGAACATGGGGATAGCCGACAGTGCAGAGAATGCTAATTCAATGTAGAGGACAGAGTGACAATGTTGACCAACACAACTTACTAGGGGGTGGCAGAGGGAAGATATCAGGAGTTTGGACAACAATATGCAGGTGTTCTTTCTCAGGTAGTTCAGAGAAAAGCTTGAGCAATATGGCCATGGGTGATAGCGGTAGCTTGTGCTCAATGTCATGTCACATATTGCAGTTGAGGGTGTCATCGACAGGCAGGTCGACCTTCAAAAGTATCAGACGTTAGCATCAGATCGTGGTATAAGATCACTCGCATTCCATAGTTTGAGATGGTCAGCGGCGACAGTGTTGAATTCAGGCCTCTTCTCTTCCTTGATCAACTTTTTGAGGTCACTGACACTCTCCGTCCGTGCGATCTTTATCGGGAAGATGTGAAACCTGGGATCATCGCCTGAGACCAAACAGTTGAGGCGGATAGGCTGCAGATCTGAAGACACCATTAAGACTGGCGGCAATGAGGAACGAGCGGCAATGTGGATAGACAGCAACTCACCACTGGTAGTGTCTGGAGTGAACATCTCAGCCAATGTTGGCAAGAGCAACAAGGGTTGAGATCTGAGATCTGAGAAGTGGCCTTACTGGGAGACCTGGCAGAAAAGCGCTGAATCAATTTGTTTGCGCCCTACCATGACCATAAGACAATATTGTTTATAATTGAACACATCCACCGGTGCCTCTTGATCACATAAGCTTGAAGCTTGATTAATTGTCTCAACTCAACCACGAAACATTCTTAATAAGGTAATGTTACTGGGCAGTTTTGGTGATGTGTTGTAGCACATTGAGCAACATCTTATGAACATGCCGGTCAATGCAGACTATAGTAAGCAGCTCAAAAGACGATGATGCACGAAATGAGAGTGGGAGATGACTGTGAACAATGATACCATCAGCGACGAGAAAGCAACACGAACACAGAACACACACCATCTGAGAATTGGGGCATTCTCATGGCACCGTTACAACGAGATCATGCACTTTGTGAGGATAGGAAATCACTGAGGCGTCATCAGCATCAGGAAGCAGCTCGACAGACGAAATCACTCACACCCTGAAAGCGGGACATCACTATGACACCATCAGTGTCAGGCAAGCAGTCGAAAGGATGAGATCATGCACTGTATGAATTGACTATGAAAGCGGGACATGGCCGTGCCACCATCACCATCGTTTGAGAGCGGGATATCCTATGGCTCTGTCAGTATTGGGTGAACACATGCGCCTACCAAAGACTCCCTACCATTGCAGTAGTTGCATGATGAGCTAGGCTAGGTAGAAACTCAATATGAAGAATGCAAGAGAGTGGAAGCAGTGCGCATATACTCACCTTCAGCTAATAAATAAGGATACACTCTGCAGAGATACTGTAACTACAAGAAGGAACGGACCAACTGAGCCACGAGTGTTACCTTGGATGGAGATTCAGGTCATAAACTACAAACAGTAGCCACGAGGGAGATGGTGGTGGTGGGAAGAAAAGTGGAGAAGTGGAGAAGCTGAGTCTATAAGGCCTGATTAAGATTGGGGAGCTGCAACACAACCGTTCCTAACAAGTTTGCACGGAGGAGCGCGAAAGTGGCCAAGTGACAAAGGGTACCAAACAAAGGACTTGGAGAAAACTGAGTGCGCGTAGATCTCGTCAACAGTCGTTGACAATGTATTGTATATATCATGTAGATACAAACGCATTGCAGACGCACGTCATTGTGATACATCTATATCAGGTTGGGATGTCGTCGACACTCACTGCGGAAACGAGAAAATAGTTGGGCCGGATTAGTGTAGGGACAGACCATATACGCGGAATATAAACAGACATCGCATACAATGCAAATCCCGAAGCGCTAGACTAGCGAGAGGTACACAGTGGCTCTAATCCGACACTGGACACATAAGTTTTGCAGAGGTAGATTAGTTATCTGTGTATCTAATCTGACAATAGGATCGGAAAACATGACTTGTACATCTCAATTATGTCTGCATACATATACAAAATAGTTCCGATTAGACTCTGCAAAGGATATAGTACAAGAGGTCCATATGCTCCATATGCTTCCTAGGATTCGCCATGCACTTGCCCATAGCTTCTTGCTCGCTCTTCCCTTCGTTCTCCACACCCCACATCCACGATGCATGGATCCCAAGGCCCACAGAGACGCCCCTAGCGGTGCCCCCATGTATCCTAGCCAACACGGCATTATATGGTGGACGATAGGTTACGGTTTGATTTGCCGATTTGCTGCGACTTATTTGAAAGTCTGTGCGGTGTTTATTCTAGTATTACAAGCATACCTAGGCATACATACAAATTTGTGTCACACTAATGTAACGTGCATTACCTTACTTGCAGACCGCTGCACAAACTTGAGATGGGACCCTGGCCTGATGAAAGAGTGATAACAGGGAGCAGCAGCTATACCTGATCTTTCTCTGGGCTATACTAATACTAGCATCATACTAGTAGTGACTCGGATGCCGCAGAGGCAAGTCAAATCGAGGCGACAATTATTTGTAAGATACTAGTACACGACCAGCAGATATCTACAATTGTAAGAACAGACTTGGAGTGTTTGATCCCGTGGAACCAATTCGCGTCGACGCCATGCCATGCGCGCTCCATCCGAACCCCTCTTCTGCTCCACTTTGGCTCAGGCATGTACTCCACTTCAGCTCCTTTGTGTTAATGATTATAGTCAGCATCTGTCACGAGCTCGATGTGGGCACCGTTTAAACTTGTGTTGGGTCAACGAACCACATGGTTTCATTGATGGGTCGAGGCTGGACGTTGCATCGCACACTGGACACTGGCAAGAATACTTTGGAGATTGCACAGGCACCGGCACCCAAATCATATGCGGCATTCAAAAATTCTTCGCGAGTCACTGCGTTGCAATCTCACCAACAACTTTTACCTTGATCTTATTAGTATCCCTGGATGCACATTGTCTTTGCACTGGAATTTGGGCTGAAACACTTCGACCAATCAGATATCATTCCTCAAATCTCACTTTGGAAATGTAAACACTGTATTGTGGTATATCAAGCACGAATGCGATTGTTATCTGTCCACCAAGTTCTTCCGCTCGATCTTCTAATAGTATGGCCCTAATCTCAAATGATCCCAGTTGGTGGCCACTTATCAATGCGAGTCTTATTGGCAGCTATTTTGTAGGTTCGTGGAGAGTCAGCCGCATGATGACGGTGATGATTCAATTCACCTTGACTCTAATTTCGTCACACAGGATGAACATGCTGGGTGTGTATCCTCGCATAGACTCTGTTTCTTTCTTGTGATGGACAACATACAGTCAGTGTTCCAACAATTTCGGCGACTGGCGCAGTGAGCATTCCACACCGATATCTTCCATTCTTGTCCAACAACTGAACTACCATGCAGGGGTGAGTGAAATTCTCGAACAAAGCTCGTTGATTCAACATAACGACTCCCACAGTTGTGAGTCTGTTTCAGAGTCTGTGATCTTCTGAAGCTGATAACTAATGTTCCTGGATTTGTCAGGCCTTATCATCTACGACGCACTTAATTGGATGGGTGAGGTTGTAAATGTAATACTGAGCGGTGAGCTATACACCTCCATGACATTTGACTTGACTGAAATACCATGCAAGTCATCATGATCGCTCGGTTGCATGCCATGTATCAGAGATCTAGAAAGGTGCTGACATGCCTCGTTATCATCTTTGTGGCCATCAGAATTGCCGATGCAGTTATGATTGTAATAATGATGATGCAGATTGCAGGGGGTAAGCTTTAGTTATGTACAAGATGTTTAAGTGCATAAGGCTCATTTAAAATTACCAGAGGCATTCGTTCTCTCCGGCACCCATCGGTGTATGATTGACTACGTGGGAAATTCTATATTTCTGTCTTCCATGACTTGGATACTTTCCACTGTATGGGAGGTCCTTGCACTGTGTCTCACGGTCTGGATTACTGTAAAGCACTTCCGTGAATTGCGACGACACTCAACAAGAGGTGTTATCGGGGACTGTTTCATGGTGTTGATGCAAGCTCACGTTAGTTACTTTGCGAGGTGAGCTCATAATGTCAATGTGGTTTCTCTTTTTCCACCAAGGTTTTCGCATGCTAGTTTTTTGGTTATCTCTTGTCTCCAGATCGGTTTCTTCTTTTCGACACTCTCAGTGGTATGCCGATCCGTCGACGACCTCTACATGCAACCATGATTCATCATTTCTATAGGACATATATTCCCTGGACCCTCAGATTTATTTTGTTCTCGCTGAGATATTCCAGGTCGTGCAGATGTTTGTGCTAGGACCACGCCTCATCCTCGGTGTTGGAGAATATCACGCTGAGCTCGTGGCCAACTCTAATACAGCAACCGCAATGACTTCAATTGCTTTTCAGGAGCGCGTCCATGTATCAACTAGCAGTAGTGTGTAGCGCAGGAGATGCTCGATATGATTTATTTGCAGGTGCAGGGAGTGGGAAAATGCACATTTACTGTGAGGTTGTTCATTCAAAGCGGCTTGCCACTTCAGGAACGAGTACAACGAACATGGATGAGGGTGATGGAGGTTAAATTGACAAAACCCATCAAAAACGAGGTGCCACAGCACCCTCCGGTTCATCAATGACCATAGTACCAACTATGAGTGAGACGAACGAATGGCATCGGTATCATATGCATGCTTAATGCAGCAAGCATAGTTCTTTGGCCCAGCCTGTCACGGTCCGCCTCGGAATCCAGAAAACCGAAGCCTGAAATTTCAATCCGAAGGAATGAGAAGACAAGTCTCACCACATATTAGCCTTCAGTGCTGCAGTTCAAAATACCAAGTACTGAGTGAGCTAGCTCATCATGTGAAGTTGTTCAATGCTTTCAACTTTGATAAATGCATCATATACACAGATGGCAGCAACAAGGCAAGTGCATAGTAAGTTAGTGTAAATACACCTCACATCGCAGCAGCTACCGCGACAGTTGCAACATTTTCACGATGCCCGCGTCCAAGCTAATCGCATCGGCAAAGACTCGACGATTAGGCGGCTCACTACGGCCTTGCAAGGGGTGTGACAGTCTCACAGGTGCTTGTTTGCGCATGCTGCACTTGCAAGAGGCGAGAGGTCAGCGAGAGGTTGTGGGAGTTGCGTGAGGCGCTTGCAGGTCAACCGGTGTAGAGACTCGCATTTCTCCAGGCTCATATGGGCCAAATTCACGCTTTTTCACGACGCCCTTGATATCCATGCAACGCGCCTTCTAAATCCGAAACGTGCTCCGAACGCGACAAACGCGCTTTCGCGCTAGCGCGTTTCTACCCATACACACTTTTGCATATCGAGTATCCACATTCCTGCAGTCGCGCATCCATAATAACGCGCTGTGTCGCGTTTCATCTTATTCGCATTTCGTCGTGTTTCGTCTTATTCGCGTTTCGTCGCGTTTCGCATTTCATCGCGTTTCGCATTTCGTCGTGTTCTGTCGCGTTTAGCCTCTGTCGCGTTTCGCCTCTGTCGCGTTTCGCCTTTGTCGCATTTCACGCTGTCGCATTTTTCGCGTTGCGCCTCGCCTTCTCTCATCCTCGCATTGACGAACCCTCGCTACTGCCTGCTCGCACCTTCCCAGTTACGCACATATGCGCCTTGGTGCGTACCAGCGCGTTTGAGCGCGTTACATCAGACTTCATCGCACTTCCCTAGGATCCGTCGCCCGTCCTCCGCATGTCCTGTCCTAGTCCTCCAAGGTCCATCGGTGCGTGCTCTTTTCACTAGAACTCATATGGCGTCACACAGGCACTTGTACTTATCACTATGTTACATTATGGACCCTGACTTACCTCATCACCTACCTTAGTGCTCCCTACTCGGTTCCGAGGCCTGGGAACTCGCTTAGCATACTTACATGTCAGCATGTTCATTTTTCTGGGACTGACTCCCGCTCGACTACCATCAGAAAGTGGATAGTTGAAGTTTCTAGCAGAAGACACTTGTTTCCATCTAATTGGCGCTTTGACACCTTTAAGTGTCTATTTCTACATCTATCAAAGCCCTGATTCTCCCATTTTGATTGTCGCCTCTACTCGAAGCACTCCGCTGTGATCACACGAAGAGCGCCTTGGTATTGAAGCGTGCTTTTCCGCACTTTCCGCCTTATCAGCGCGTTTAGGCGCTTTTAGCTAGCGCTCTTCGCTTTTGGGTATATTACTTGCCTTAGTGTCCCCTCCAGGCTTAGAGACCGAACTGCTGGTTAAAGATCCCCCTCACCTTTCTATAGAGGAATCTTTCTCAGTCGCAATCCCCTTGGGACGATTTTCCACTCGTATCCAGAGGAGCACTTGAGAGCCCACTTCCCACTCTTCCCCCTAGCACGCAGCTATCATTCCTCGCCCTCACCGGTCATCTGCAGCGGTCTGCAAGCAAGGAATGCACTGAGTGTGACATGAATTTACTGCATCAGGAAAACCACCGGTCCCTTTTTCCCGCTTATGTTACTTTTTATGCTTAATATGGAATAAATCCAACTTAAAACACTGCTTTTCCCACTTAATTGACTTTTGTGAAAGCGCATTAAGACACACTTAGGCTCACAAGTCCAGACCACCAAAAAAGGGAGAAAAGTTGTATTTATGCAATAAGTGATAAATGGTAGTAGTACTAGTAGTACTAAGTCACCCGTTCTCCTTGCCGTTAATCCGAGTCGTGGTTCGAACGTCGAAGGTAAAGCGTCGTAACAAGCGCTCATGCAGGTGTAGCAAACATGCACACCACTCGCAGAAGGGTGGCCAAGCACATCGAGCTGTCTTGTAGTAGTTTTGCGTCATTTGTATGTAGTATAAATGAGCGTGAACGTTACTTACCTTGGTGTAGTACTAGAGGTCGTGCGTGGTACAGAAGCACCGCGCTTTAGAAAGCGGTGCTTGTCTGAAAGAAGAAGGTGTCGGGAGAGGCCGATTTGGCAAATACTATCAGTAAGTACGGACAACGATACAAGCTGAGCATCCACTCACCTACAACACGCTCAACTGTGAGAACGATGGGCCCTCACGATCCTGTAGGTGGCCTGCGTGCTATGTAGATGGCCGATCACTGACGAGTGTGATCAACAGGAGTTAGTGTCATATACCATATATCCGGTTACAGATCCGATGATCTGGATCTCAGATCCGATCCAGATCCGATGAACATATCCGTCGTCCGGTCCACAGATCCGCTTTGATTCTTATTTCATTTCCTGTTCATATAACTCTAACTATCGTTCATCCCCTTTCGGTATTCCTGTACACCGGTATACCGGTTATCCTTTACTTCCGCTTTGCTTACTGATCCGCTACACTTACGAATCCGCTTTTACTTGTACTTCATTCCCGGTTCATAATTCGTGATCCATCCAACTTACCAATACGCTCCACTTAGACTTTGCTTATTGATCATTCCGTTAGCTATCCGTAGTATATAAACCTTTGTATATGCGCTGTAGTAGATCAGTTCGAATATCATCTTAGATTGCACTCATTCCGTCTGGACTCTGAGTCCCTCCGTTATCCATCCGGACTTGAGTACGCTACTCTTGTCTACTCCGAGACTTAGGATAGATTCCTATAGTCTACATATCCGCCTCTGTCTTCGGACAGTCCTCACCCGTTAGTTTCTAGTCCGGATCCGATCCGGATTAGCCGTTACTCTATATACGCGATACTTTAGCTCTCTGAAATAAGGGGCAAGACTCGGGAAAGGGGCACAGCGCACGAGCTGAGGCCGAAGCCCTTCGGATCCGATACTACTTGAGTACGGTCTTAACAGTATATTCGAACTCATACCTTTCCGAGTTACTTAACATCTATCATGCCTCCTACCAAGACACAAACAACTCTGCACGCGGTCGGACTAACCTCCCTCCGTCGTGATCCGACACCTATAGTCAACACCTTCACCAGTTTCTCTCAGCGCCGTGTTAGCGCCCACGGAACCGCTCAAACCATATCCGAACTCCTTAATCGTCGACACCCCGGAAACCCCAACACGCACTCCTGCCGTAGGACCTCCGGACGATGATGATCCCGATGATGGTGATGATGATTTCCCTGGTAATCCACCCGATGATAACGGTGGTGATCCGGATGATGATCCGGATGTTGAGGATGATGAAAATGACGGTCTAAACCCACAAGACCGCGTTATGCTTCGACTCTCAGAAGCCATCGATAACCTCGCTCGCAATAATCGTCGCGCGCCCGCATCCGAAGATTCTAGAGTCAAGGTCCGAGAACCGGATACCTTCGACGGATCCGAACCACGGAAGCTCCGTGCGTTCTTTGTCCAGTGTGAGCTTAACTTCCAGAGCAAGCCTAAGGCTTTCCGTACCGGAAGGGCTAAAGTCAACTTCGCCCAATCCTACCTTAAGGGTATGGCCCTTGAATGGTTTGAACCGGATCTCCTGTCCGATGATTTGGACGACCATCCGGATTGGATGGATGACTATTCCGTGTTCATGCTTGAACTCCAAGCCAACTTCGGGCCTCATGACCCATCCGGTGATGCAGAAATGCAGCTCGAACAGCTCCACATGCGCGATGGACAGCGCATCAACAAGTACGTTGTGGAATTCCAGCGCCTTGCTTCACAGGTTCGTGGCTGGGGCGACGGAGCCTTACGACGCCAATTCTACAACGGACTCCCGGCCCGTATCAAGGATGAAATCAGTCGCATGGGTAAACCCTCTACTCTTTCTGAATACAAAGTCCTCGCTCAGACTATCGACGCCCGATACTGGGAACGGAAGGGAGAGATCTCTCGAGAAGCTAAACCCACTTCATCCACTACCCCTAAGCAATCCACTTCTGACCGGACGAACTCCAATACGTCCGGATCCGGAAATCACAAATCCGGAAACTCCCATGATCAGAAGTCTACAAAGCCATCCGCGTCCTCGAACTCGTCCGCTCCTAAAGTTCCGGATCTTACTTCCAAGCTGGGTAAGGACGGAAAGTTAACGTCCGAAGAGCGGCAGAGAAGGATGGACAAGAAACTCTGCTTATTCTGTGGCGGACCCGGCCATACAGCTCGGGAATGCACCAAGTCTACTTCGCGTGCTGCCAAAGGCCGCGCTGCAGTAGTCGCTCCGGAAGTCAAACCGGATGTCTCTACTGAGACAAAAAATAGTCCGCGACTCTCCTAGCTCCGTGCAGGAAGAGGGTCGCGTTGACTCTGCCTGCACAAAGGAGTTAAGACTCAACGCTGTCGCGCTCTCGGATCCGACTTCCCTCTGTCCATATGTTTCACTTCCGTTACTTCCATCCGTATCCGAATTTCCAGCTCTTGTAGATTGTGGTTCTTCTCATTGTTTCATAGATACTGCGTTCATCCGAAAACACAAAATCCCTACATAT